AATTCTAAGTACAAATTTGGTGATTGTGTGGGCTTGTATACATTTTAATCGGATAGTAAAGGGTTCCCACTTTAAAGCATTGTACTTGAGAACCGACAAACACTGAGATGCGAACTGTCCCAGGGCGTAAACTTGATTCACTCGATTGGATTTCATTGAGCAACACTGTACTTGAGCAGACAGGCAGCACAGCCATACATCCTTATGTGCACAGCACAGACCGCAACTGAAAATGTGGCATTAGAGAGCAGACAGGGTGGTTCGCAGGCTTACTGGAAATGGGCTTGAGCCATGCCTGATCACACTAGTATACTGACTTGTAATCATGTGCCTTGTCTAGTACCTTCAATGCATGAATTTCTAGTTCAGAGTTCGCACAGCAACGTGGTGCTGTGCTGTGGTGCTGTGCAGGCACCGGCCTGGGTGACCGGGAACATAGAACTATTCCCCTGATTCTATCTGTCAAACCATGGTGCAAATCTAGCGATTGATGCTTTCCATGTGTGCGGCTTTGGTAGTAAGATTTCCATCTCTGCGCTTTCATTTTGTTTCTCACTGTCTTTGAGCACATTACAAGCAATCAGTGTACCAGACCCTACCTACCATGAACCACTTAGCGCAGTATCGATCAGCCGTCACTCATACTAAGTCTTATACTTGCAACCTCCAGCGGTGCTGTCTAAGGTGAGCTCATGTGGCACATTCAGGTCCCAAATCTGGTTAGCAAAATAATAGTCTGAGAACAGTTTCTGAATCCAAAGTCAAGTTGTGTTTGATAATCGTGCCTCCTTTCTTGCAAATGGTCATCGTTGTCAAAGAGCACGCAGGAGCATTCTTCCACTGTTCTGGCAGACGTTCTTGCTGAGCTGTAGCATTTTGTGTTTGGGTGACATCACGGTGATAAATAGTCGGCGGAGAGCATGTTTACTGCTAGACTAGAATTATTACCAAAACTAGAGAGGTTTTGTGTGACAGTCCTGTATTCACAGTTTGTATGGTGTTGCAAACCAGTGCTTGCTGCTTTGCCAAGCTATAGCAAGTACCTGAGATGAATACGTAGTCACACAACCCCTATTGAAACCAGTGAGTCCAAGATGGCGGCACATCTTTGTCTCGAATATATTCTGAGGAGTGTTGACGATGCCCTCCCGAACTGCACTAGATTCTTTGTTTCGCCTCCACACACACAATTTCCAACGAAGGTATTCATACGTGATTTTTCTGACTGCATTGAATCAGATCTGTTGGCGACAAGAGGACTAGGTGGCGGTAGATTTTGTCCTCGCGGGTGTGTTTATGACCTTATAATTTTATGAGTTTGTTATTCCTCTGATTTGCTTTCTATCATTTATATTTCTTGTGCGTGTGTGAGGGCATTTCTACCGTTTCCATTCCTCGAAGTCACCCAATTTCCTGTACAGGTGCATAAAAACCTAAAGCATTCTTGACAGATCCAAAGCTGAGCATCTCAATTACTCTCTCTCTCTCTCTCTCTCTCTCTCTCTCTCTCTCTCTCTCTCTCTCTCTCTCTCTCTCTCTCTCTCTCTCTCTCTCTCTCTCCTCTCTCTCTCTCTCTGGACTCGATGTGTCGTCAACATTCCTCAGATGGGGTTGGGGCGATTCCTACTTCCACTGCGCCAGTAGGTCGCAGCAATAGGCCCTCTTTCACAAAGAATGGAGACTAACATGGGGTCACTAGCCTTGGTTTTCTGAATCTTGACAAATTCAGAAATATGCATGGAATTGTCTGGGATCGACCTGAAAAGAAATTTGGCTCTGAGCTAACTACAGAAAAGGATGTGGGTTATGATGCAGTTGAAATATGCACATTGGGTATTCACAATGAAAGATACCTGCGATCATTTCCATTGCCACCAGTGTAGTGCTGCTTGATGAAAGCAGATGGCATGGGTTTTGTTTTGCCCCCTGCACGATTTCATAGCCCTAGTGATCACAGACCTGAGGCTGGCACAGCGCCCGGCGCAGACTTCACTCACTCGATCGGATGTCATTGAGCAGTATTGCACAGTACTGTAATGCCATTCAATGCTGTTACAGTGATATGACGTCACATGTACATGTGCTTGTGTGATGTCACATGTACGTGTGGTGGGGTGTTGAGAGCATGTTCGATACAGCTCAATCAATGGTCAAGACGCGGCAGGAAAAGACAAAGCAGTTGATGGCAGATGACAATCGGGATTTCAGCTAGTCCAGGAGACACGACTGCGGCAGCGCCATCAGTTATTGACCTACAGATGGTGGTAAACATGTATCATGCAGCATCATGCAGAGTTGTAAGTAAGTGCTTTATCCCGAACGTTATCAACAGGTGAAAAGGTAACAAATATTCAATGCCAGGGCTGGCTGAAGCATTTTTTTTCGATTGTTCAGGCCATACCCTAGCCTTTCTTACCTTGTGTATGATGTGGAGGGTATAATCATGACCTCCTCAGCAGTAAACACACATCGATGGTCAAAGCGTTGGTCCGGCCATGGCCTGACCAACCGGACCGGTTCCACCAGGCCTGATTTTTCCGGATACTAAATCCGCAGATTCTAAAGTTGTCCTCGAGTCAAGTTGTTCCTTTTCTTCGACAAATCTCTCCTCCACAGCAGGTACCACTGTAAAGAGAAAAAAGAGTTCAGTGGCCTAGAACGCAGAAGAGACTTCTTAATCTCTGAAACGTACAACACTTCACCTGTGACTCGCAACTGCAAATATTCTTCAAGAGGTGGTGCTCCCATATCCTTATCTTTAGTTGGTGAAGAAAACTGGCCGTTTGACTCCCGTACGACTCTTATTTGGACCTATTATATAGATGTAGACTATTGGGTGTGTCTTGTTTGAAGTGGTTGGCATGTTGCTCAGCATTGTATGGTATATTTCATGTGACCAAGTTGCAATAAGCTGGACTTACCCACGAGCGACATCATGCCATTTGTTTGGCATGATGTCCAAAATATTCTACGCATTCTGATGTAAATCATTTTGCTTTCCTTTTCAGCGCCTGACCGGATTCGGCAAAGACAACGGTAGTGTATTTTGTGCCATGCCGCGAAAACGGCCGCCACCGAATTGAGCATTCCTGCGCACGTTTCATTGGTAAAAGCTATCCATCCGTTGTTTGTCCGGCCACGTTTACAGTAAGTAAGCAGTTGTGCCGTGAGTAGTGTTGATGAAGTAGAAATAGAAATTCATGTCGTCTATTGATTTATGCTGTTCGTGTGGAAACGTGATACTTTCCTCCAGTATCAAACATGCCTTGGGTCCTTTACTTAGGACTTTGTCTTCTGTTGGTCTTTGCAGGTCCTGGCTGGCTTGACCGGAGGCTGGATGCTTGCCATGATGTTGCCAACATCGGGGACCAGGTACAGTCGAAGCTGTGTCTATGAAACACTACTTTTGAAGTGTATTGCGGCATTCTGTCCTGGTTGTGTTGTCATAATGCTCTAGGTCCATGGATCTACTGCTCCCTGCTACAGTTCTCTTCGTTCTTTTTTATAATTTGATCCTGTAGGGACGGTCAAGATGGAGGATCACCAGGACAAGGGGACCGGCCACAGCCAAACCCTAAGTATCAGTTCAAGTATCAGTTGTGCTCTCTATGTGGTGCATTGTGATGAGCTGTGCTCTTGTCCCTGTTCCATTTACCCATACCAAATTCACTCCACTCCGCTTCTACACTCTACAACAGTGCCTGAGCAAGGCTAGCTTGTCTCAACTCTGAGCTTCAGTGCAATGATCAAGCAAACTAGCCCGGTTTTACATACCCATTTGAGCTGTCCCTTTTATTCCTAGTGAAGTAGCCAATAAAGTATTCTTGAGTCATTTCATGCAAAAGTAGGGTGTGCAAAGTCTCTTTCCGATGACTCCACCTGCCTTCATGTTTCTGGACTTCAGGTATCACCTTCCATTGTTTGCAGTCTGGCTTCAAGTCCTTGTTTCAAGTAAATGCCTTTGTAAAGGAAATATGTCTTGCAGATACCTCATGCTTGTAATGGAAGGGGATGGGAGCATGCTCATCCTTGTTTTGTGTATGACTTGTCAATGTGCATGGCACCACACATTACCGGCCGGCAAACCCTCCTCCGTCCAGGGATCAACTTTTTTTGGTTTGGGATGTGGGCTTGAACAGAACACCTGTCACCCTGGGAGGGAAAGGGTTGTAGAAATATTTCTTTACTGCAGTACTTGCCTACTTTGTACTGTGCTTCGATGCTGCTTTCAGGATGGGATCTTTCGGGATGCCAACACCTCACCTCGCCTGCTTGGCCACTGGAAATGGATGGCTGGGGATTTTGCTGGGGATTCGGAAAGAATGTTATCTAATGACTTGAGTTCATGAATTTGCTGCATTGCCTTATGCATGCCGTACAGTACTCGGGTGGTTCTAGGCGGGGGAGAGAGAGAGAGAGAGAGAGAGAGAGAAGGGGGGGGGGGCTGATGTGCATGAGCGGTGTTACTGAGAATTGTGGATGTAATTATGCATGAACGGTACTGGCAAACAGCTGGAAAATGCAATTTACCACAAACCTATCGCCAAATTTGTGGGTTTTTTTGGGGGTTGAACCGCTGGAATATGCAGTTTACCACAGACCGATCGCCAAATTTGGAGGAAGGTGTGAACCGCTGGAATATGTACTACAAACATATCGCCAAATTTTGGATTTTGCCCAAAATGCATGATCTAGGTCGCAGTGCAGTGTATCTGTAAAGTGGTGCGAGGGGTCAGCTGGTGGCAAGTTGTCTGCAGGGGCTAGGGTCGATTTTGGGTTCAAATATTACTGGGACTGATGCGCTAGGTTACATGCAGCATAGACCTACAATAATGTACAGTACGATGTATGTCGATCACTGATCAGAGTGGAGTTGATTGTTACTTGTGCCTGGCTCACACCAGGCCTAAGCTCCGTCCCCGACTTGAAATCGGCCGACTACATTCCAGCCATGACGACGACTCCCCATGCAATCATCACACATACGGATACTTTTGTAAAAAAATATATCAAAATCTGGAATTTCAATACCAAAACGGGCTAGGAAATTGTGAAAACTAGCTGCTCTGAAATTGCAAAAATTGACACTATAATTATTCTGGGAGTTACATGCATGCAGTACAGTTCAAATCGGTAAACTGGGATAGATAAAAAAATATATTTCTTCGAAAGTCTTCTACTTGTAGTGTGTTAACATTACATCTTTCTTACACAAACTGCGAATCAAATACCAAAAAAATCACTAACTAACTAACTCTACTCTTCTACATTATTATTATTCATTAAATTTTGAGTAGGTGTACCGTGTATGTAATAATTGCTTATGTCAGAATAAACTGCTACTAGTATGTTCTCAAGAAATTACAAATATTGGATGGAGGTTCAGTCATTACTGAAAACTACAAATTCTCTGCAATTATTAAATGACAAAATAATACCTAGATAAAGTAAGCAACAATAGCATTCGGCACTGTTGAGATGGTGGATGATGCAGAAAAAGACATTTCCTTTAGAATTATTATTTGCCAATTTGCACTAGCCCATCACTGAACCCTATAAATGTGATGAGCAATGCACATCTTCCGATACGGAAACTAGTTACATGGTTTAACAATGCTACATGAAAACCATGCACCTGGTGGACGTCACTTACTCCAAATACACAGGATATGCTCATACGACTCCATACATGCACTGACAAATGTCCACAGGAAGTACTACTTCGACACGTACACACAGTAATATGTTATTATGTACTGACCGGATCGGCCCGTATGGTTCACCGTACACATTAAACACTCATACAGGCTTCCATGTCCACATGGCGTCGACTGGCACGCCGCAGCAATGCTAACTGTTACTGCCTACTCAGAGTCCTGTAACAGTTCTGTAAGTCCCTGTAGAGTGGCTCACCGTACACCAAGCGAACACCAAGAACTGTGGCCAGGCGACTCTGCTCTTCCTGCGCAGCGGTGCGGTCCGGAGTGGAATCGCTATCCAGAACGGCGGGCTTCGTGAATTCTTGTTGGCTTCGCTGCAAACGCTTGGCAATGGTGGTGAAGAGAGGACGACTGCGGCTAGTCGGATGCCTACACGGGACGAAACAAGCAAGCACAATCCAATGCATGAGCACATACGTACACAAGCACACAATGTCATTATGCCTGACGACACACGTGAGCAGCATGGACACATACCTAATCTGTCCCCGGGGAAAATTGCGATTCCGCGGCCGCGTTTTTTCCTCGTTTTTTTGCGATTTTTAAAAGACCGCGTTTTCCGCGATTTTCCGGCGTTTTTTGAACTTTTTTGTTGCACTACACGTACACACAGTGCACTGTTCGGTCAGCAACGTCTCATCATGGCGGCTTTTTACTCCAATATGACGAGCGCTTACACCAGAGACTTGTAACTGATTGATGTCACTACATACTCACTGAAAATTGCCGCACATCAATATTATTCACCGTGTATTTTTGCGATTTTTTGCCGCAATTTTCCCCGGGGACAGCCTATTAATACTGTAGATCGAGCAGGAAATTTTTGGACGGAATTCATTTTCGGACGATTTCGTACACTGCCTCTTTTGTACTAAAATTTGTTGATGTGAAATTATGTACACTTATACATGCATACTGCATGCGAATATGTGCATTTAGCATGCAGCACTGTACGAAAATAAAATCCGTACGAAAGGTAGAAATTCGGCTTGATCCGAAAAAATTCGCGTCCGAAAATGTCCTACTTTTACAGTACATCCCACAGTGAGTTGCTGAGAAAACTTTCCAAAAAGATGAAAAAGCCTCGGGAGCCTGTTGATCCTAAACAGAGAACTGAATACTATAATCACAGCGGTTGCTTCCTTACTTTCTACAGCATTGTCACACAGTCCCCCCCCCCCCTCTCTCTCTCTCTCCTAGTCTTTCTCTCTATCTATCTCTCTTCCTTCCTTGTACACTCGAACACATGCATGATAACTCCTGATATATGTATACCCGTTCGCGTCGCCTTTGTGTCCCACTGCCGTAAGGATCACAGAGTGACACGCTCTCCAACGGGAAATTCCAGGGCAAGAAGCAGCGCATGCAAGTGAGCATCTAACATTGGGGGGGGGGGGGGGGTCAACGCCAGGAAAAACTGGTACAACCCTTTCTCCTTTTTCTCTCACCCAAGGATTCACATGATTTCCCGCACACAGGCATGTACACACACACGCACACGATTGCCCACACACAGGCATGTACACACACACACACACCATGTACCATGTCCCATGTATACGCCCATCGCAAGAGAAGCACGCAAATCTGCAAATGCACTGGATGTGCACCCACAGATTTTCTCTTTATAGCAACGATAGCGGATCTGATTCTGATTGAAACAGATCAAGACAAGCGCCAGATAACTGTCTAATCCACACAACTGGCAAAGCCATGTGAATCCCCCCTCCCCCAATGCACACCGGGTCTACACCACACGGAGTACATCGGAATAGGACGGCCAAGACAGTTACCTATGCACACCCTACACTTGCTGGTGTAACCAGTATAGACAGCACGCTGCTTTGATAAAAGCAGACACATGATGCACTGGTACCTTCAAGTGAAATTGGAGTTATTTTACCAACCAGCTTCGGCAAATGGGTACTGGGAACCCAGGGCCAACTGACGTACCAACAACCTCAGCCATGAAAGCTATATTGTAACGGCACACTGCGTTGTGGAGCCGAAACTAGTCCAACTTCCTGCTTTTAGCCTTCCGACAGGTTGGACGCACACACACACACACACACACACACACACACCTCAGACATGCCCATCGCGGAAGCGATAATAGCGAACAACTATGTTAGACATAGCAACGTGCTGGGATTACACCATTCAACAGCTTGCAAGGCTGATGAATTGACCGGCACTATTTTTAGCCCCCCCCCCCCCACACACACACACTCATACAGATCTCACAAATGACCCTGCTTCCAAGAGGGAACCCAACCAACATACTGTCGTGGACATGGAAATCCGGTCGCACGTCTAGCGACCCAGGGCCATGCAATTGTGAGTAAGCACATATTCATTTATGTGCTGCAGCGTGCTGGTCGCACCAGATCAACATAACTTGTGCACTGCATATAACGTTCTGTACTTGCTGAGGCCGCCGGCCCCGGTCATTCGACCGGATTTCCATGTCCACGACAGTACTACAGGCAAGATAAAACAACATCTTACCAGCACTCTATCATCTGTCTGTAAATGGCACGGGGACAGCCTGGTGGAGGTGGCAGACGGCCTTTCTCCTCAGCTATAAGCCTGATCACCTGCACAAAGGTATACCAAGAAAACAAAAATATATTGAGGTGAGTGACCAAAATGTGGAAGATAGACAGCGGCCAATGAGGTAGAGTGTAGGCCTAGCAGGCATCAGCATAGGGCACGGGGGGGGGGGGGGGGGGGCATGCGCCCCCCCCCCTCCCTAAAAATTTCAACCTAGGTTCAGTATGCACCTAATGACCATGAATGACATGCACCAGCCATCCTACACATACGTGTATGCGGCTGTGCACACTGTAGCCTGTAGGTTGACAGTGTTCTCTGGTACACTGTAGTTCAAGTACACAGTAGAGGCTGTGGATAACAAGATACCTAGTGCTCCTGTGTACACTACATGCTTGTATTGATCAATGCCAGGCAGTGCACAGCTCAGTACCGTTACACCGAGTACCGGTATAGAGCTGACACATGCCACACTGACCCCACACCTTATCATCAACACAAAACTGGCAAGAATGCTCACCTTGTCCGGTGTCATGCCAAAGAATGGTTTCTTCCCGAAGGCGTAGATCTCGAACATCACAACACCAAAACTCCACACATCACTTGCCGAGGAAAACTTGCGGTACAGCAGAGCCTATGCAGTACACGGCAACATGAAGGTCAGTGCATACACACAATGTTTTTAATTCTCCACCACCAAAAAACTCACAATGTCCATTCCCATCCCAGCCTTCATCACGCGCAAGTGGATTCTGGTGTAGAATGTATTCGCTAGACTAGTGGAGGGGGGAGGGGGGGGGGGGGGGTGGTGGAGGAGTGAGGAGACCATGTGTTTCTTGTTCATTTTGCCCAGTATATACATAATTGTCATGAGACATAAGAGCAACAACAGACCAAATAAGCACACCACCAGTGACAGCATCAAAAGCTACACCACACTGGCAGCAAACACCAGGTCAGTGTAGAACAGAAGCATTAGAGGCAGTACTTCAAGCACCTCCGGAAGCAGCAAAGACAGTATTGCAAGCGCCCTTGTGCTCCGCCCGTACAACACAGCAAACAACAACAGAGTTGCATAGCCAGTGGCTGGCAATGGCAACGTCTGATCCTAGCAGGGACGTAGGCCACTGCGAAGTGACGACCACGTTGGACTGTGTCTGCTTTACGCAGACTCGCACCGAACCACCATGATTGTCATGGCTACGCACAAAGACACTTGCTTTCCAACTCTCTTACGGCCGTTGGAAAGCATAATAGCAGTAAAATCACATCAAAAGCAAACAGGCTGAACTCACTTCAGGCGCAGTCCACTTGAAAGGTATCTTGCCACCATGAGATTGGTAGTAAGTATCATCAGCTAGTCGACGTGACATACCAAAGTCTCCAATCTGTAGTAACAAGACACACAAGCAAGAAACCACATTATAACGAATTTGCTTAGGTTTTCAAGGATTTCAGTCATTCAGGACAAGACTTGCATGCAGATTGTTCACTTTAAGAAGGGATAACACACAGACCAATGCTCTCAAGACACCCTCTGTAACCTGGAATTTGTTAGAGAAAAACACACGAGAGGATATACTGCTTTTAGTAGAAGTGTTTCCTCGAGATTCCTCTTCCAACAACTGCTGCCTTATCGTCAATAGAATGAGCCAAAGGTTTAACAATGGTTTGAGTGGTGCAGACGCTGCTGCATTATCGCAGTGCTTACAAGCATATCAGTACATGTCCAGATTCAAAGGAAAGTTCTCTAAACATGGGATTCATACATCATGTTATGAGCAAGTTCATTCTTTGGATTTCTACAACCATTGCATTTCACCAGCACTAACACATACATCTACATGTACTTACTTTGCATGTCTTGTTTGCGTCCATCATGACATTGCGAGCAGCAAGGTCCTAGTTGTAATACAGTAACAACACAAACACGCCATCACCATGCAAACGCACACACGCAAACACACACACACACACACACGCACACGCACACGCATACACACACACACACACACACACACACACACACACACACATACACACACACACACACACATACACACAGTGTACACACACACACACACGCACACACACATACACACACATACACACAGTGTACACACATGCAGGTAATTACATGGTGGTTACACAGTAAAATGGTGTAACAGCTCAGCGAGCCGAATGTGTTTTGGGCACACAAACAGACACTAGTAAGAAATGCTGCAGTCACACATGATCAAACATACTGTGCACGGTACCGCCTGGAAGCTATGGACATGGATACCAATCTGTAGGTTGGCACAATGTAAGAGCCAGCTCCTGTGGGCTGGTATGGCACCACGTCGGCTAAACTGGCGATCACTTCCCCATGCTCTATTTCAGCAGCACAGGAAGGTGCATTTCTAGCTCTTCATATTCAGCTGTTTCAGCTACACATTGAACTGGCAACAGGTATACAGCCAGTAGAGTAGTCCTTACTGAACAGGAAGAATAGATTAGGTGGGAGAGGCCCTAGAGAAGAGTGTACGAGACGAGGATAGCTTAATAGTACTTCCACGCACCTAATTGCACACTGGTCGTTGCCCAAATGCTGGACTGAGTAAAACCTGGCATGACTATGGCCGTACCCGGCGTACCAGTAACGCCAGCCTTGAAATGCACCGTAAACATGTGCACTTACTCTGTGTACAAACTGACGGTTCTCTAGATACGCCATACCGTCAGCAATCTGTCTACAGTGTGTGTATAGCTTAGTGAGCATGTCATCATCAACCAACTGTCCAGGGCTGTAGACACACACAAGCACAGAATGCACGCAAAGAACGCATGCAAAGCACACATACCAGAATGTCATACTCTCCGTCTCGCAATGCCCATATACATTGTACATAAAAACATGCATAACAGATCTTGAAGGTGTTTCAAAGCTTGATGAGCATAACGTTGATTGAATGCAAGCGGGGAGGTGGGACGATGGATAGCAGTCAACCAGCACTAGATAGCTGGCCCAGTGTAGCATGGTAGTGCACAACTCATGCAGTACTGTATGACATACAGTACTGCATGAGGTCATGCACTACTGTATGAGGTCATGCACTCGCCGAATCCAATCTTGTAAGGGCCGGGTTCCACTGCGGCTCCTCCGCTCCGCTGCATGTCATCCGCGGCATGAAACGTCATCGTTACCTTAGTGACCGCGGCTCGAGCTGGAGCAGCGAGGCCGCAGCTCACCACAAACCTCCGCTACGATTCTTGATCAAGACTGCGAGCCGCGGTCTCGGCTCGACCTGTTTCCATTACTTTGAATCGTTTTATACACGAGAATTTAAAATTCAGATCTTAATTCGTTGTGCAGAACACGAGGATTTTTTTGATTTCGCTCGCCCAGGCAGGTAAAACGTCATCAAAAAACGTGGAGCTTGACCGCGGTACCGCGAATGGCGAGTGCCAGTCACCCGGGAACTGCGGTGCCCCGCTGCATGCAGCCAAGTCAAGTGCCGCGGAGCAGCGGAGCCACGCAACCGCAGTGGAACCCGGCCCTAACGGACAACACACAGTAATGGCTGCATCATTGATTATCTTTGCTCGACATACTACTGTTTCAGACACAGTAAGACATAATTATAGCACTTACTCTGGTTGTATGGAGAGAAGATAATTGCGCAGGTCACCTCTAGCCATGTATTCCAGTACAACCAGTACCTGAACAATCAACAAAAGTATACACATACACATGCACACACACATGCACACACACAAACACACACACACACACACACATACACACATATACACACACATACACACACATTGTCGCATACATTGTCCCATGCATTGTCGCATGCATTGTCGCACACATCTAACAAAGAAACATACACCCCAAAACACAGAGGATCTTATCCAGAATCAAATCCTTCTTCTCTGACTCAAATAGAATCAGGATACAATGTATTTTTTTGGGATATCGTTCCTGTGGAAAGCAGGACATGAAACTCAGTAGCAAAAAAAAACACCTTGATCTAGCTGATTTTTGTGCAAGACCGATCATAAAGTAACACAGCGCAATATGTTAACATACATAACACTAGTATCGAAGAAAGTATCTGCTCCGAACATCGGAGCTCGCTTCTCGTGTACTCCAGACGCAGTCGTGAGTCAGTCAAGTGTCAACCAGTCGGCAGGAAGCGTGAGCTCCGACGTTCGGAGCAGACACTTTCTTCACTAATCACCGCCAATGTCGCAACATCTTTCGTACCACTAGTGTCACTATGACAACACATACCGGTTCACTGGCAGTAACGACACCACATAGCTTGACGACGTTGCCATGGAAAAACTGGCCCATCAATGCGGCTTCTTGCAGTAAGGATTTACGAGCTTCCAGCCTGGTGTCCTTTAAAACTTTCACGGCTACTGGTATCTCGGTAGTTCCCTGTACAGGGGTGACAACAAACGATGTGAACATTTTGTGGCAAAGCATTTCACATTTGCAACATACAGTGAAACCTGTCTAAGACGACCGCTCAAGGGACCTTCAAAATGTGGTCTCTGTTACCAGGTGGTCTCCTTATCCAGGGTCATTTGACTGGAAATAGCATGCCTTGGACCGGGGTGCAGTGGTCTTCTGTTACCAGGTGGTCTCCTTATCCAAGGTCATTTGACTGGAAATAGCATCCCTTGGACTGGGGTGCAGTGGTCTTTTGCGAAGGGGTGGTTGCCTTATCCAAGTGGTCGCCTTGACAGTTTTTACTGTACTGTTACAGGGTTGTAGCCAAGGAAAAATGTAGGGGAGGGCAGGAGGGAAGGGGGGGGGGGGGGGGGGCAGGACAAACAGTTAGGCTATTTTTTCCATGCTGCACAATGTGTGAACTGAAAAGCACAAAAATCGAAAAAAGAAAAAGAGTATGGTGGTGTGCCATCAGGTTGGGGTGGAGGGGGGGGGGGGAGGGTGCCATCGCCCCCCCCCCCCCCCTTCTCTGGTTTGGCTAGACCACTGCTGTCAATTACCGTAATAGCAATCACAATGCCACTGTCATCCAATGCCACACATGTCTACCGTCACAGGGGACGTTACCTCAGCTAATCAATCACGCACGAAATCTCCGCATCCTCTTTCATCATCCTCACTGGACACATGAGCCTAGAACTGTAGCAGAGATGTGAGGGTGAACATGGTTGAAATAATACCAGGCCAAAAAACATGGTTCGCGTGAGACTCGGCCGCTTCCGTAGTAACGCCACCACCCTCTATGGATGACCAGGCCAGAGTTAGTGACACACACACAGCACCAAAGACGGTGATAATACTCTCTGCTCCCTGCACCGCTCCTCTCTCTCCCCCCCCCCCCTCCCTCCCCACCCCAATACACACGCAAACCTCTACCCCCCCCCCCCCCCCACCCTCCCCACACACACCAACACTAACGTTTCTTCGCCCCCCCCCCCCCCCCCCTTAACAGCAAAATCTCATAAACAAGTCCATTCAGTAGCTTACCACAGTTAAGTCACCTCGCAGTACAACACCAAACTCCCTAAAGTAAGGGCACCATAGAACACAGCACAGAAACAACACAAGAAACAGGCAAAGTTGAAACGGCATAGGCAAGATAGATGAGATTACATGTACTGCCATAAATACAACCAACTATGCACTTTATTTTACTTCACCAGAATTACAGGTTGAGACATCACATCACTGCATGAGGCCTCAACATTCGTTATAGTTGACTATAATGAATTTGCTGTTACGGCAAGGAGACCCCCCCCCCCATCCTACACATCCACGGGACAATCACCACTATCCTCAAGGATTAAAGCACACACGGAGGCTTATTTTACTGGTCTAAAGCACAAGTTCATGACAACGGAGAAGAATATTTTGTGGTTAATAGAGAGATTCAGCGTGTGGTACAGAAGTTTGTATACCACGGCCCAAAAGTCGTTTCTTGTGCTCCGGTAACTATCACAAATCACGTCAAAAATAGAGATAACACAGTGCCATTGTTGTTGGCTGCCACAAGACCCTGCCGCCACTTTCAGATCAGCGGTGGCTAGAAGAAGAGAGAGCCAAGCATTGAGGCCAAATACAAGCCGTGCAATCTTGTGTTGCACACACCATTGCAAACTACAGTCCTCAGCTTATTTCCACAAAGGACAATCTAGTATTGTTTGCATAGTCCACAACAGCTTCTGTCCTTACCCGGAGCCAAGCCGTTGGCCAAGCTTGACGTCTTGACGCAGTAGTTGCCTGTATTGCTGCGGCGCTTGAAGATGGGAATACAGATCTTCTACATCTTCCGGTGGGTCAACAACAGGTGCCGTCGGGTCTATGTTCAGCCTGAGAGTATCCTAGAGATGCATCGAAAGTACATGAACAAGAACAGTGATAACATTTTGAACAGTGACCAACCAATACAATAAACAATGGATCCCTGTAGGCTTGATCATCAATTGCATCATCTTTAATACAATACACGTTTGGGTATACATGACATGACCGTTAGCACCACTATAACTGCTGAAAAGGAAGTCTTGCTGCTTCAACTACCACAGCAATATGTATCATTGACCACTACTTCAAATATGAGCTACAACAGCAGCGACAGCAACAGTAATAGCACCAGCAGCAGAGAAAACAACAGGAGGAGCAGCAATGGCGATGGTGACAGCAGCAGCAGCACGACCACCACCACCACCACCACCACCACCACCACCACCACCGGCACCGCCCTCACCGCCACCGCCACCACCACCACCAACTCAAGGCTCACCACCACCACCACCAGCAGCAGCAGCAGAGGTGGCAGCATCAGCACCACCAGTACTTGTAGCAGCAGAAGAAGCAGCAGCAGTAGCAGCAGGGGTGATGGTTATGGCAACAGCAGAAGTGGGAGCAGCAGCAGTGCTACCTAGCCCCATTGCCATGATTACAACTAACAATTATATGCTATAATGGACGACCGTAGAAGCACACAGACATGGCACTAGCTAAAATACCACTCACATAGATATCATCGGATCCACGGATTGTTGAACCTCTAGATGATCTGGGTGCAGCGGGTCTGGGACGTTCCCCTGTACCTAGCCGAGCATATCCACCATCATCACCAGCCTCAGCAGCACCACCATCACCACCTTTTCTACGACGTTCTCCTGTGCCTAGCCGAGCATATCCACCACCATCACCACCATCACCACCGTTCTCAGCAATAGAGTGCTGAGGACCACGTACACTGCTAGCCGTACCTGTTTCTCTCCTGACAGTATGACTGGGTCGACTAGGTACGCGTACGCTGCCTTTGTTATTATCCCCTGTAGAGCCTTGGAATGCACTCTCCTCCATATTCGACTGGTAGGAAACAACAGAACAAAACGGTGGACACAATCCCAAAATGTACTTTTGTTAGGGAAGTAACAATACAAGCACATACAAACCAACACATACGAGAAGAAGACAAATCAATGTTGGGCAGGAATTCGTGGTCGCAAGCTGGTGATAGAATCCTTATAGGGACTAAACATGTACTGTAACATGACTATGGAACATCCTCTATTGCTGTAGGCATGTCCAGTAGAATGGATGGCCTGTAGGACTGTATAACTGGGTCTACCAAATGACCATGGTGTGAAATCATGCTCCTATTTCGTCACAATCAGCAGCAGCACGAATACGAGATGCATTTCAGTACCAAATACGAGGCACAGTTGGTGAGCAATGCTAGGCATTCTGCGTTCGCCTTGTCTTCCTTTCACAGTTCTTCCCGCATCCATTTTTATGATCCAGAAACAAAGTTTAAATGCCAGGCAGGTTTTGATGTTCTGAAAGATTTCTGTTGGGTCTGATGCAAGGCCGGCAGGTGGTCTAATTTCCTACTGTTCCCATTAGGTCTACCAGATAAACAACGGCATTTCGAGTTAGTATTTGATGCCCGCATTGTGGAGATTGCACAATGCATGATGCATGTGCACTGCGAGAGAACTTACCAGAAGATCTCTGCGTGATGTCTGCCGAGGTTCAGAGTGCTTGCTCGTGGAGCTGCTCTCGAAGACTTCTTCATTCACGTATGTTGCTGGATTCTGGATGCCAAAATCACCTGAAGTTGACACAGTTTTGAAATCGACAGAATTATGTTAAACATTCCATATTTTTGGTCAAATTGACCCGGAAACATAGTAACGTAAGGCCCTCGGCAAAATTTATCAATTTTATTCTGACAAAATATATGTTTTCGCAGACATTAACTTGAAAACAATCATCTTCAAGGCTGTTTGACATGCAAGTAAGAAAGACACATGCGGTTAGGTTGATCTAGGGATAGCTCCGATGGCATACATACAGCAGTGCTCACTGACAAGGCAATGCCTTCTTCTCTAGAAAAATAGGAATGCACAATGCTGCATACAGCAATTTGTTTGGGCAATAATGCCTCCTGGGAATTAGTGTAACTGAAGCTGATGTACCGAGCAGAACTGCCTGCCACGGCAACAAGTGCCATGGCCACAAGAGCCACTACGACAAGAGCCATGGAAACAAGACTCATGGAAACAAGACTCATGGCAACAAGAGCCATGGTAACAAGAGCCATGGTGACAAGATCCATGTTGAAATAGAGCCACGATGATAGACATGTGGACAGCCCAATGTACAAACAACCTTGAAAGTGCTCAAACTACGGAGGATGCAGAGGAACGCGTAAAATATGAGTTCAAAATCTACGCATGCCTGGCTGTCTCAACCTCGCTAGATCTCAACCAGCAGAGCTCAGAGTGGTAGAATTCTATAATCATACATTCAATATTCTCACTGCTCTCAGACTTTCATCGGAGAATAAAAAATAAATACTCTGAATAAAAAATGCATTTGACCACCAGGACTTGATTCAGTGACCTTCGCTATCTACCCCAGCAATGTACTGACCAGTAAGCTCTGGTGTAGTGGACATCCAAGCATGCAGAGGCTGGTTCAACATGTTTCTCCGGACTTCAGACTAGCAAGGTGTTCAGATAGTTACTACAAATACATGTAGTAACATTCCAACACTACTCACCTAGTTGTATTGATTCACCTGACGGATATCCGTAAGTCCCACTTGAAAATGCCATCATACCAGTTAATGATTCCTTCACCTTCATTTCACTGTGTGTATGTCGATGATGACGTCGGTATAACAGGCCAATGACTAGTACGATCAGTAAGAAAGCTGCTCCGCCGACTGCAGCCCCAACCGGTATTGCAAGATTACCAGATCCAGACAACTGGCTATCATTGCCGCCACCATCAACAACGATACCAGCTGTTGTGCTCGTGATATCAGAAACTGTTGTTGGTGCGATGGTTGGCAAGGTTGTTGGTCGAGTGCTCGGGAGAATGGTTGGAGTCGTGGCTGATATGGTGGTGGGCGTTGTGGTGGCTGGGTTAGTGCTTGGGGTGGTGGTTGGGGTGGTGGTTGGGGTGGTGGTTGGAGTGGTGGTTGGTGTAGTGGTTGGGGTGGTGGGTTGTGCGGTGGTTTGCATTGTGGTTGGTATGGTTGTGGCTGAGTTAGTGGTCGGTGTGGTGATTGGTGTAGTGGTTGGTGTAGTGGTTGGGGTGGTGGGTTGTGCGGTGGTTTGCATTTTGGTTGGCGCAGTGGTAGGTATTGTGGTTGGTGTGGTGGTTGGTGTGGTGGTTCGTGTGGTGGTTCGTGTGGTGGCTGGTGTGGTAGTTGGTGTGGTGGTTGATATAGTGGTTGGTGTGGTGGTTGGGGTGGTTGTGGGTGTGGTGGTTGGTGTGGTGATTGGTGTGGTGGTTGGTGTGGTGGTTGGTGTGGTGGGTGGTATGGTGGTTGGTGTTGTGGTGGGTGGGGTGGTTGGTGTGGTGGTTGGTGTGGTAGTTGGTGTGGTGGTTGGTGTGGTGGTCGGTGTGGTGGTTGGTGTGGTGGTTGGTGTGGTGGTTGGTGTGGTGGTTGGTGTAGTGGATGGCGTAGTGGTTGGGGTGGTGGCTGGGGTGGTGGTTGGTCTGTTGGTCGGTGTGGTGGTTGGAGTAGTGGTTGGTGTGGTGGTGGGTGTGGTGGTTGGAGTAGTGGTTGGTGTGGTGGTTGGTGTGGTGGTTGGTGTGGTGGTGGGTGTGGTGGTTGGTGTGGTGGTTGGTGTGGTTGTTGGTGTGGTGGTTGGTGTGGTGGTGGGTGTGGTGGTGGGTGTGGTGGTTGGTGTAGTGGTTGGTGTGGTGGTTGGTGTGGTGGTGGGTGTGGTGGTTGGTGTTGTTGTTGGTGTAGTTGTCGGTGTTGTTGTTGGTACCGTGGTAGGTATATAAGTACACGTACCAGAAGCACCACCAGTTCCACTGTATCCACTCTTACAAACACAACTGTATGATCCAAATGTGTTATTACACACATTGTTTGTGTAGGATGTACACAGGGATGGTGTGGCTGCGCACTCGTCGATATCTGAAAAGGAATAAAAATTGAAAAACAAAACGAGATTATGTGCCATGCATCACCTATCCATAGTCAATAGAATCGAGGAAACATTTTTACAATGTGCTTGGAAGTAGGCTCGGTTTGTTTTCAAAGATGTGAGCCCCGTGCATAACAAGGTGAGCTCTGTGCATAACGAGGTAGCTTTGCGGATACCCGTATGAGCTCTGTACGTAACTTACGGATGCGAGGTCCGTGCAAAACGATGTGACCTCTGTGCATAGCGAGTTACAGAGAGACAGAGAGGAAGATAGAGGGAAAGAGGGAGGCAGGGGAAAGAGGGAGGCAGGGAGAGAGGGAGGGAGCGGGAGGGACCGAGAGAGAGACAGGCAGATAGATAGAAAGAGGGATACAGAGAGAGACAGAGAGAGCAAGAGACAGAAAGAGAGAGAGAGAGAGAGAGAGAGAGAGAGAGAGAGAGAGAGAGAGAGAGAGAGAGAGAGATATAGATAGATAGATAGAGAGATAGATAGAGAGATAGATAGATAGAGATAGAGAGAGATAGAGAGAGATAGAGAGAGAGAGAGAGAGAGAGAGAGAGAGAGAGAGAGAGAGAGAGAGAGAGAGAGAGAGAGAGAGAGAGAGAGAGACAGAGAGAGACAGAGAGAGAGAGAGAGAGAGAGAGAGAGAGAGAGAGAGAGAGAGAGAGAGAGAGAGAGAGAGAGAGAGAGAGAGAGAGAGAGAGAGAGAGAGAGAGAGAGAGAGAGAGAGAGAGAGAGAGAGAGAGAGAGAGAGAGAGAGAGAGAGAGAGAGAGAGAGAGAGAGAGGGACACAGAGAGAGAGAGAGAGAGAGAGAGAGAGAGAGAGAGAGAGAGAGAGAGAGAGAGAGAGAGAGAGAGAGAGAGAGAGAGAGAGAGAGAGAGAGATACATAGATATAAAGAGAGATATACCTACCTTGCGTGAGCACACGTAGTGACACATCAGTTCTCGTTTTTGTACAAAATTATGTTTGTTCGTAACTCCAGGTAGCTTGTATTCTCCGTCTGCATATCTCGCACCGTCTGCTGATGTAGAGCTTCCCAATACACGGCATGCTGACTGCTTCGTGGTGATGCCAATGAACACTGTCTTGGAATAGCGAAATGTTCGCCTGTTACTGCTTGTGTAGTTATAGCTGAACAGTGTAGGTGTGGATGCAGCAGGCATGCGCACAGTGGGTGCCACGTACTCTAGTATGTACTCATTCTTCTTAATACCCGGTGTATCATGGTTCCAGACTGACACAACGAAATCACAGTTTGAAGTACTCGAGTGGATGACTTCAAATCCCAACATCTTCACGTTGCACTGTGTTATACTGTACGTTTGCAGTATCCAGGTAAACTTAGACGCACCGCTCTCTCCCTTGAGAACGGTTCCATCCTGTGTTGGTGTCCCACCAATGGCATTGCATGTTGCTCGGGCTGTGTAGAGACAAATATAAAGTCAGAACATATAATGTGTGTATACCTGGGAATGGCACAAGCTATTATTAATGACCATCATTGATAACAGTCAGACTGTTAGTGTACTAATATTCAGCCCATTCAAATTCCGGCCTCCCAGTGCTGAACACATTCGCCCGCATTACATTTGTGGCCTGTACTGCTAATTCTTGCATACACTGTCACACTGAACCTTGCAAAACAAACTTTCCATCGCAACAGATTTTCGCCGAAATATGACCAGGCCGAGAATAGCCGAAAATAAGTAGGCGCCGAATATTTGTAGACTTTCAGTACTCTTATCTACAAAGGAGAAGTGAGCCCTTCCACCGCAGAGAGTGCTCAACTGTTCTGGGTGGGATGCACTGGGGCTAGCACACAGAATGGAATCAATTGTACCCTCACCACTCAGAGTGTCTTGTATCTGTCGACCATTAGGCAACCTAGCAAACTGAACCAGGGCTGTAACTATCACTGCAAGCCCTCAGCAAGCGCTAAAAGATATTCCCAGGCCCTCAGCAAGCGCTAAAAGATATTCCTAGGCCCTCAGCAAGCGCTAAAAGAAAAGGCGGACGCGCGAAGAGAGTGTTGCACGGAACTATTAACGTGCTATGGCATTGACCAGCAGCAGCAGTAGTGTGGACAACAGCAGTAGTGTGGACAACATTCTGCAGGTGGCTGAGCTGAGTGCTGGGTGACAATGCAAGTGTTAGGCTATGAACAGAGAAGTGGATGGGGGGGGGGGGGGGGCAGTGGTGTGGAGAACACTAGCAGTGACTACACATTCTGGGATTATGTTTAAAGAAGGACTAATCAGGTGTGAGATGTTAGGGGCGCGAGGCGTTAGGCACTCAGACAATTTTATAGGGCAGTGAGCGCCTAGTAGTGAGGGCGAGGTGGTAAGTCTCATAACCAGTACCCAGCAGACAAGAGGGGTGGGGGGGGGGGGGGGGGGGGAGAGCTTCCCGAGCTGCATCCATGTTACCCTCATTCCGATATGCAATTGTACCCATGCATACTGACATGTACTGTGCTACAGCCACTACATGTACTGTGCTACAGAAATTCTTAGAGATGAATTTTGTGAGTGCGGAAATTTTCATAGGCAAAGATATTTTATTCCTGTCTGACTTTTCTTTCTGGTTAGTAACATAAACGTACTGGTGTTTGTGTTCAGTCGACGGCACTGACCTCTGTCCATATCATAGCCTTCACTAGCCTGCATTCTACAATATTGTGTGTGCTCTACACTGTGCCCTACAAGCATGCACATTTGCACGGCGCATATGTCCGGCATCGGGAAAAAACCAGGGTGACAGGTTTTGACCCGTATCTACAGCATCGGTTCGCAAAACATCAGGCAGTGCACACTGTAGCACGTGCAACATGCTATACTGCTACACGTACAAGTACAACAAGATAAGATGCAAAACACAATCGGATTATTGGCGGGGCGGTGGGGGTGGCCAAAACAAGACTCAGTTCTGTATTTAGCGACATGGAGACAGTTATTTAATCAAGGGTATGAATAGGGTTAGATGTGCTGTCATCACCAAACACACATCACAAGGAAGTGACATAGTCCAATGGACAGTAAACGAAAAAAGCGAGAAAACGATACGGTTACTTTACATTGAACTTCCTTGTGATGTGTGTTTGGTGATGAAGGCACATCTAACTTTATTCATTGCCATAAAAATTATTTTAATGTGGATCTTGTATTGACAGGTGTTAACATACATGTTACTTCGTTAGTCCGTATGAATATACCTGCTGCAGCCGAAATGACCAGTGAACGCAACCTCATTTTTCTACAAACTTGCATCAGAATTTTGCATGTTTCCACCCTCAGTCACTTCAGTGCACCACAAAGCAATCATGCGCTAACAAATTACTGGATTACCGGTCTACAGCAGCAGCATGCCAGGAATCCCATCATGCTTATTTCAAGCAATACAACGTTCACTTACCACCCACAATCAACGTGGCCAGCAGCAATAGCCTCCGGTAAACATCTTGAACTTGTTTCATCATTGCACACCCAGCGTGTCACCCTGAACGATTCAACCACAACTCCTCTATCAACTCATGATCCACCGCCGTGACTTCGGCTCCGCACTCCGCACTTCAGCCCGGGATTATCTTCGTTTAGATCTTCAACAGCCTTGGAAATCGTCGTCTAGATCTTTGTCCTTCGCCCCACTTCTGAACACAACCGGCTCCACATTTTGTTCTTCTTGACTACTGTCGCTTGTCGCCAGACTCTGCATCTCGAGTTGTTCCGCCATACTTCTTGGAGGACCGTCGAGCGGATTCAATGACAGCAAGTCCAGAGTGCTCTGGCGACATGTCGAATCGATAGCTGCGACGTCCAAATCTTTCTTCGAAGTAGCTGTCGAAGGCAGTGCGCTCCGTGCCACCCGTCAAAGCCTGAACTAACTTGAACTCGTCACAGAAGGAGATGGAGCGAAGCTAGCTCCGTATTTGTAGCTCAGTGACAAGCTCACAGTCGTCGGCCAGTCTCGTGAGGCGGCACAGTTGAACATAATTATTTGTAGCGACGTTGCTGACAGCAAGGTAGAGCTCGCACAAGGACTTGACGCAGGACTTTACGTTCGTAAACAATCTCCAGGTCACTTGGAGATGTTCCCACCACCAACACAATTGTGAAGTGGATGATTCAGACACAGAGCGCATTGCCTACAATCGACATCCGAAGCAAACTAAAATTATGTACAGCCTTCAATGGTTCTTTTTTTCGGCTTTCGTATCATGTCCTTATCATGTCCTTATCTCGGCCTTTACTTGGCAGCTGACACCGCTCATGCAGTCATGGTCATACATACAGCGCTAGTATTATTACAATACTTAGTATTAGATACGTATTAGTCGCAAGTAAAGGCTAAAGCCAGTAAAATAGTAAAGGGTGGGGGCGGGGGGGGGGGGGGGGGGGTCGATCTGTCGGATATTACTACTACATGACTCATGAGTACTAGTAGCAGAGATTTCAATCATTTGGCCCGCTGCGCTACCTTGCACTAGCACATAGTCATTGTTATTATTCTCGTATCCGTCCCGTGTGAGTGGGAAAACTAGCACATGCTTCAAAGTAATTATATCATCTGAAGACCTACTGGCACTGGCAGTCTAGCACGGGCTGCACCTGTGCCTGTGGTGTAGTAGGTTTGTTTGTGGCGGGTCCCATGCGATGGGTTGTAACTTGTAGGTGAGATTCACCCCACTGATTTTCTATGACACACGCACACACACACACACACACACACACACACACACACACACACACACACACACGCGCGCATACACAAACAGACACATGCCACGCCACACACAATAACACCACACACATGCCTGCACAAACACACACACACAAATACAAACGTGTATGCACGTGCGCCAGCGTGCGCACACACACAAACAAACCATAATTAAAGGATGTACGCCCATCGCAAGAGAAGCACACAAATCTGCAATTGCACTTGATATGCACTTGATATGTGCTCTCTTGCTGATTTTTTCTTATAGAAAACAATAGCGTACAAGATCTGAAACAGATCAAGATGCCAGATACAAGCAATGGGTGAAGTCATGTCTATGGAACCCCAAATGCAAACCTGGTCAACACCACACGGATCACAACGGAAGAGAACGGCCGACGCAGACGTACACGCACACACACGCACACACACACACACACACACACACACACACACACACACACACACACACACACACACACACATACACTCACGCGCACACACTCACACGCATCCATGATGTACATCAATGCGCCAAGGAAATGATAAGTTCAGCTGTTCAGCAGGACAGATATCGAAAGTTCAAAACTGGCTATAATGCGAGCGTGACAAAGGTGATAAAGGTTAATTTAGTTTATGGTTATCTTCAATGGATCTACGATATGTTACAGCTTCATGATAAACCATGAATTTTACATTGTATTCGACCAAGCAAAAAACCTAGTTATCTAATTCATCATAAATAACGGGGAATGCTCAATATAATTAATGCTTTTAAAATTAACAAAGAAAATTTGCACAATAACAGACCAAAGGCCAAACTCAAAAAGCGATACAATGGCAATTTCGTGAATGCACTGTTTACGAAGAGTATCAATTAGGTACAAATTACGTTGGCATGCGATAGCGGACTGTGTCTTTCCTTGTCCTTACTTCAATCGGCTGATAAACTAGAAGAGCTACTTCTTGATAAGTTCTTTCGCGGTACAACACAGTACACATGCACTGTCAACATGGGTATCAGCTAGAACTGAAATTGCGTTGGCACCGGATACATGGGAAAACTACAAATTGAAGACTCTAATGGATTTCTGGTGCTAACTTATACAGTAAGGTGGATATCATACGTTATGGCTTTGAACTGTCCGACGGCGCTGTGTGAACATTATCCAGCACAGATAGAAAATTACATCACCCTCACTTTCAAGGACTAGAATGATGTCATGGAGAGTGCATAATCCTCATGCTCAGTCGCTCAGCGATGCTTATGACATCACGGATAGTGCATTACCGTCACTTTCAGCCTTACTCATGACGTCATGCAGAGTGGAGAAGTAAGTCATGGCTGCGCACAGTACATTGTTTGCAGATCTTCGTACATGGCTTCAGTAGCATGCAGTGGCCCGCCAATAGAGTATGCCTGCTGTGGTAGTGCGCTGGACTGGGGCACCGGGGCGAGTAGGGCAGCCGTACGACTAAGTCGTTGCACCAGGTGATCAAATTCTGGACGCTTGCGATGATCCGGGTGCCTATGAAAACAATATGGAATACAAAGGAGACATTTTTCAGGAAAGACTTTTCAAGAAAATATACGTTAAGAAAGATTTGTGAGCAATCTTTACTGCATGGAATTCACCCATGGTTTGAAGAAAATCCAGATTTGGAGTTTGTTTGGGGGGGGTGGGGAGGTGATAGATAGATGACCAGAGAGAGAACAAGATGGATAGGGCTTATCCATACATACTGGGCAATCCCAACACAAGAAGGGAGGGCAGTGGGAGGGGGGGGGGTTCAGGTGGAGAGGAGAGATGTACTTGAAGAAACAACACAAGAGACAACATGATCTTCTTACCAGCATTGTAACATCAGTTTGAACAGGTCACGACTGACACCTGGTGGCGGTGGTAGACGTTTCCGATCTTCAGATACAAAGCTGATCACCTGCAACACACAAACACACACACACACACACACACACACAAACACACACACCATACACACACCATAAGCATACAGAAAATGTCCTGGTAGAATGTATAGGTACCTCTGAGCCTATCAGACTACAGTACTGCTAGGCGCCGAAGAACTGAGCGCCGAAGAACTGAGTGCCGAAGAACTGAGCGCCGAAGAACTGAGTGCCGAAGAACTGAGCGCCGAAGAACTGAGCGCCGAAGAACTGAGCGCCGAAGAACTGAGCGCCGAAGAACTGAGCGCCGAAGAACTGAGTGCCGAAGAACTGAGTGCCGAAGAACTGAGTGCCGAAGAACTGAGTGCCGAAGAACTGAGTGCCGAAGAACTGAGTGCCGAAGAACTGAGCGCCGAAGAACTGAGTGCCGAAGAACTGAGCGCCGAAGAACTGAGCGCCGAAGAACTGAGTGCCGAAGAACTGAGTGCCGAAGAACTGAGCGCCGAAGAACTGAGTGCCGAAGAACTGAGCGCCGAAGAACTGAGCGCCGAAGAACTGAGTGCCGAAGAACTGAGTGCCGAAGAACTGAGTGCCGAAGAACTGAGTGCCGAAGAACTGAGTGCCGAAGAACTGAGTGCCGAAGAACTGAGCGCCGAAGAACTGAGTGCCGAAGAACTGAGCGCCGAAGAACTGAGCGCCGAAGAACTGAGTGCCGAAGAACTGAGTGCCGAAGAACTGAGCGCCGAAGAACTGAGTGCCGAAGAACTGAGCGCCGAAGAACTGAGCGCCGAAGAACTGAGTGCCGAAGAACTGAGTGCCGAAGAACTGAGTGCCGAAGAACTGAGTGCCGAAGAACTGAGTGCCGAAGAACTGAGTGCCGAAGAACTGAGTGCCGAAGAACTGAGTGCCGAAGAACTGAGCGCCGAAGAACTGAGTGCCGAAGAACTGAGCGCCGAAGAACTGAGTGCCGAAGAACTGAGTGCCGAAGAACTGAGTGCCGAAGAACTGAGTGCCGAAGAACTGAGTGCCGAAGAACGATCAGAGTAGAATTTCACCAAGCACAGCATATCAATGTATGCACGGTGACTCAACTGTGCATAGACTGTAATACATGAAAATAGGGAGGTTTCGCTCTACGGAATTACGAATGAAAATAACGTAGGAACTGCATGGAACTTTCATAAGTAAAAATCAGAGCTGTTGGGTTTCGCTCTACGTGATTTCTCCACGACTGCTAAACATGCGTTGTTGCTTTGCAGATGCGTTGGCTGCATGCGCCCACCGCATGCACCACGAACAGAAACCGCGTTTCCATTTTATTTTGCACGTGGTGTACGGTGTGTGTACCTTGTGTTTCGCGCGGCTTGAACGTTGCCATGGACAAATCCGGAAAATGCGAAAAATATTTCAAAAAGTCCTACGGAAGACCCAACGTAGGAAACAGCTTTCCTACAGAAATCCGTAGAGAGATTTACGTATGAAAGTTGCCCTCGCTCCCCGGCGTGTACGACATACGGATTTTTATACGTAATTACGTAGAGCGAAACCTCCCTAAGATGAACCTGGCCTAATCTAGGAAGTTGTCCCCCAGTTCTTCGCCAACCGACAGCACAATAATAATATAATTGCACTTTGAAGCGGCATTCGGAAAACGGTGATATATTACGATTTTTACAATCCCATCAAAACTAATAATTATATTGCTACAGTTGTACATCAGTATCACCCACATACCATTGGTCTCCGTACATTAGCATTGGTAGAGGTACATGAAACAACCGGTGAATGAATAGGATGATCCTACTTGCAAGTACTCACCCTCGGTGGGGACATTCCGAAGAATGGCTTCTTGCCCAGGCTGAATATCTCGAAGAGAACGACACCGAAACTCCAGACATCACTGAACACAGAGTATTTGCGATATAGCAATGCCTGCATGGTGAACACAGTGAACATGGTGAACATGGTGAATACGGTGAACAGGAGAAGATTAAGAACGTGGAAAATACAGTCAGTCTCACCAATATACAACAACCTCGGGTAGAACAAGAACTGATGACATCGTGATACCATGATAACAACTTACTATGATAACCATGCATACTTTCAACTTTGCAAGTACAGTTGCGCGCACCGAAATCCGACACAAAATGAAAGGCTGGCACCGTGGACCAGTTACGATTACATCACTGTACGTGTACATGTGTACGCCCAGCCGCATTCATTCCATTTCCAGGGCGTCAAGGGCCGTGGAAGATGAGGGAGCCAGCTTTGCACGTTGGGTCGGATTTCAGTGAGCGCAACTGTCGCAACACTTTTATCATGCCCATCTAGGGGTTTTATCCGCAAGGTTGACTGTACTTGTACACCATTTGCCCAGGTCAACATCATAGTGTACAGTCAACTTCGCTAATAAAGACTGCGGATATAACGACAATTCGCGAATAACGACAGAATTTTCATGCCTAAAGCAAAGTCCCATCCAACTGTAATACATATAATGAGACTTCGGGTATAAGGACGATTCTCGAATAAGGACACTTTTCTAATGCCCCGCCGAGTGTCGTTATAAGCGAAGTTGAGTGTAGTTCACATGAAACATGACCACCTGCACTTGTGCAATGCTCGCTGTGTTCCTCGCAGTTAAAGCACTCTCACCTTGATGCATTGAGCCGGTGAATTTAAAAAATACATTTTGTGGTTCTCTGGGCTTCATTGTGATCGTTTCGGCCAGTGGCTCTGAGCTCCGGTGAGGACCCCTAACTATTTCAAAACAGTTTTTTCTCAATCCGCTGTGCGCTTCAAACACCACGTGCCTGCATCACTGGACTCTTGATATCTACAGAGACCGTCGTGCACCGCAGCTAACCACTGTTCAGGATACTGAAGGGGGAGCGGAGGGGGGGGGGGACTGTGTCGGTGGCGATGCAGGTTTAGTCAGAGCAGAAAGCCAGCACCCAGGTCTGGATATGCCAGTGAGGTTCAGAGAGGTGTGCTGCTCAGATCTAAATCCCCAACCCCATTCCACTAACCACTATTGTCAGTAGAAGTAGGCAGTTCTTCCTTGCTACTCACAATACTTGAACAGAGGTCAAATGGCTATACTGTGTACACAATGACCCGCACATACACATAATAATTAGGGCTCAAACGGTCACGGTGTTACCCCTAACGGTTAACTGCTAAGCTAACGGTCGGTTTAACAGTTATAACCTATAAGCCACGGCAATCCTGCGGACTCTTCTTTAACCGCATATTTGACTATACTCATTCAAAAATGTACCCTATTCAGTACAACGTACACATGTACATTCTCTTGCATGCTCATTCATACATACTCTCACACCAAGCGACCAGATATGACCGAGTTGACAGCCCAGAAATTGCGTACGCGTGCGACCGCCTGCGACAGCCTGCGAAAGTGCTTCTTTGCAACGACCTGATACTTGAAAAATTGAATGAAAAGTTACTGCGTAACCGTTATCTTTATCAGTTAACCGTTAATTCTTCGTAACCGGTCTGCAACCGGTTAATCGGACTAACCGTTTGAGCCCTAATAATAATATCTATGCAGAGCTCCAATGTGCACAAACATGCTTGAATCACAACAAAGTCATGGCAACACACATACACACACACACACACACACACACACACACACACACACACACACATACACACAAACACACACTCACACACACTCACACATACACACACATCCTAACACAACATGGAGCATACCTCTGGAGAAGTCCACTTGACTGGTATCATACCACCATGTGATTCATAGTAGGTATCATCAGCTAAGTTACGTGACATTCCAAAATCACCAATCTGAAACATTACAAGGAAGAGAGAGAGAGAGAGAGAGAGAGAGAGAGAGAGAGAGAGAGAGAGAGAGAGAGAGAGAGAGAGAGAGAGAGAGAGAGAGAGAGAGAGAGAGAGACAGAGAGAGAGAGAGACAGAGAGAGACAGAGAGACAGAGAGAGACAGACAGAGAGAGAAAAAGAGAAAGAAAGAGAGAGAGAGAGAGAGAGAGAGAGAAAGAGAGAGAGGGAGACGGAGAGGGAGAGGGAGAGAGAAAGAGAGAGAGACAGGTTGCATATTCAGGGACAAGAAACAAAGTACCCGGATGCGAGTGCATGCGCAAGCGAACCAACAGAAACCTAGAAAATAGAATCATCAACCTGTGTGCGATCTCGAAATGTATTTCATAACATTAATGACAAAAATACAGCCAAAACCTACACAGGCATGACCCTACACAAGTGAGGCATCACATGTGTATGATGTCAGGTGCCGTGACTTGCTTAGCTGGACATTGTTGGATTTCTGCCCCTACACAAACGTCTTCCCAGTGCGTATAGTGTGAGTCTTAAACTCTATAATGTATTTTATCGACAGACCTGCATTCAAGAGTCACTGACCTTGCAGACTAAGGATGAATCCAGGAGAATGTTGCGTGTTGCCAAATCCTGGATAGCAGCAACATGGAGAACAGAAAACAAATACACAGGACAACGAATTGGAGCTCTATACTTCACAGTTCGCACCTGGTACGTTCTGCCACTCAGATATCTTCTGTTTTCTAGCTACGACCTCTACAGTTGGAGCCCATGCAATCTGATCTGATGGAAGCATATAATTATAACCCAACTGAGTGTTTTCGCTCCTGCTCTTGTAGTAGTTGAGCACTCTCATGTGGAATAGTGCCTTTGCTGTTTGCAATACGCAGAGCTCACTGACTTGTCAGTTTGAGTACTCTGGCAAGGTACGTTTGGGCCTGATTTAAATCTGGCTGTGGAAACTTTATTTCATTGCGATCAGGTTCGGCCTCATTTTCTCTGTGCTGCGCTGATGAGTTCACAAAAAACGAAACAGCATGCTGTCCGCAGGTTGAGTAATCCTAATGGATACACTTAGCAGACCATCACCAGCATGTTCCTTTACTTCACATGCTGCTGAAACCAGTCACTGGAATGCGGCATACAATAGAGAGGCTGCCACATGACCGAATAGCTGACAAAATACATGGACAGTAAGTTGATCAGGGGTTTTAGCCTTTTTACGTCATCAAAGTCCACCAAGGACAACGAGGATAGGAAAGCAGCGGTCACTAACCCTGTGAATGAACTGCCTTTTAGCAAGATAGGACATGCCGGTTGCTATCTCTCTTGACATTCGTAACAGTTCACTTGGTACGGTTGCCTTCAACTTCACGCCGTGCCTGTACACATGCAGAATCAATAACAACCATCAGTTATCAGCTCTGAACATTGGGATGCAAACTGTGATCCTGTTGACAGTGCGGCGTAAAAGATACAAGAACAAAAATAATTCTTATCACTATTGGCATACTTGCTGGGCTATGGCAATATCAACGTTATTAGAAATCATCGCTATAGGCCAACATAGCATTACATACCATGATCCCTCCACCATTACTGTATGCCAACGCAGCATTATCACCATGATCTCTCCCTCCCTAGCTGCATTCTTAACAATGCCCGGTCGCAAACTATGATTCAGAGACCTCTCGTCGAATGAGCCTCGCCAACCACACCGGCACATCACCCCTTCCCCTTTGTCTTGTTGTTCGGTGTCACTTCTCCTGTCTTCTTTCCTCGCCTGTTAGTAGGGCTGTGTGTTGCTGGTAAAAATCATGTTATTGATGTTTATCTCAATCTCCCTCTCTCCACTCTCTCTCTCTCTCTCTTTCTCTCTCTCTCTCTCTCTCTCTCTCACTCTCTCTCTCTCTCTCTCTCTCTCTCTCTCTCTCTCTCTCTATCTATCTCTCTCTCTCTATCTCTCTCTCTCTCTCTCTCTCTCTCTCTCTCTCTCTCCTCTCTCCTCTTTCCCAGTTCATTCTCGGCGTGGTGTTCTGAATGGCTTAAGCAAGAGTGGCAATCCCGCCACACTTGCAGTAATGCACTTAATAATACTAATCTTATCCATACTGGCATACTGGCACACTGGCACACTGGCACACTGGCACACTGGCACACTGGCACACTGGCATACTGGCATGATCCGGTACAAGACTTACTCAGGTTGTAGCTTATGTAGATGTGATCGCAGATCTCCACCAGACATCAACTCTAGCACCACCAATACCTGTTCACAGAAAACATACACAGGACTTGGCACTGGCATGGACAAAACGCAAAGTTCATTCCTTCACTCCAACCTGTAGAAGAATATTTCGTAATATTATGTGCAATGTATCGGTATCAAAACTGAAGTTTTTCTAGCCATCACCATGGTAATATTTAGAGCATATGATACTGAGTGAGTCAGCGAAACCGCTTTTAGGAGTATTTCTCCAAATACATTTCTCGCCTTCTGCGCAAAACGTCAAGGGCAAAGAGGGAGTGCGACTTACAATCGAGTGTGACTTCTTACTTATGTGAGAGTGAATTGAAACAGTATGGCTCAAACCTGAAAATGGGTGTGAGACTAATATTCGGGTACGGCCTATAATCGGGGAAATACCGTACTAATCAAGTCCCTAGTGCATCTCTGTGCTGCGACTTGGCCAAAGCATCTCAACTGATGGTGTAGTTGCATAGCCTATAGACCGTGACTGTATAATGATACCGAGCATTGACAGACAACCCCAGGCCGTCCTTACCGGATCAGCTCTTGTAACAACTCCCACGAGTCTGACAACATTGATGTGATTGAACTGTCCCATCAACGCTGCTTCCTGTAATAGTGATTTCTTTGCATCAGCATTGTTCTGGTTCAGAATCTTGACAGCCACTGGTATGTTGCGTTCATTCTGAACACACACACACACACACACACACACACACACACACAAATACACACACACACAAACATACACACACACACACACATACACACACATGCATGCACAGACACGCATACACAAATGTATCCACACAAGCACATACACACACATAGACACACACAGACACGCATGCACGAGCACGCGCGCGCACACACACAAACAGAGAGATCCACACGGAAACAAATAAACAAACACAAGTCAAAATTAGTATAAAACAGACAACCAGTATCATCATCGTCACGTGTCAGTCACTTGCAGCACCAAACTGTGCAAGAAACAATACCAGAACTGGCCTGGTCTATTATGAACAACAGACACAGACAGACAGACACCCCCCCCCCCCCCCCCCCACACACACACACCACCACTACCACCACACATGTGCGCACGCATGCACACATGCACGCATGCATACACGCACACGCACACGCACACGCACACGCACACGCACACGCACACGCACACGCACACGCACACGCACACGCACACGCACACGCACACGCACACGCACACGCACACGCACACACACACACACACACACACACACACACACACAGACACACACACGCACACACACACACACACACACACACACACAGACACACACACACACACACACACACACACACAGACACACACACACACACACACACACACACACACACACAGACACACACACACACACACACACACACACACACACACACACACACACACACAAGACAACAGGAGTATGCTGGCACTATGTTCACACAACATGAAACTCACCATGCTCAGCGTTCCTTCCACCACCGTACCGAATTCCCTGCAGGCAGTGCACATAGCAGATAATCACAAAACACAGTACCCACAGTGAATATGGTGATACAGTTGTCACGATACAGTTCTAGGCCAACTAGGGATGCTATGGGAAAGACCAAGTGTGATCACCAGTATATAAACATAGTACCCGAAACTGCACGACGCATGCATCTTTGTTGCCAAAGTAATAACAACAAAACTTTCCTTAACTAAAGCAGTCTTCCGTTGGTGTTGGCGTGGCTGAGTCCAGGAATGGGTAGCAATTACACCTTAAGACTGCGGTGGCTAACGCAGATAAGAATTGTCCTTGTGTGTCTATTGTTATCAGGCCTACGCTTGTTTTCACTCTTAATACAAATGAAGTATACAGCAACAACAAGAACAGCGGTGTCAGAACCAGTGCGGCAGGTGCGGCCAAAATCGCACCTACAATTTTATCCTGTGATTTTTGAACCATATAGAATATAGGCTAAGTTGACCCAAATATCCGAACACTTTCCCTGCAGGGCCCAGGACTCCGCAACACTGCAGGGCCGCACCAATATGGAATATCTTGTGGCGCCCCAGAAGAACCGTGCAGATTACAGTCCTTATAGGCACTGCTTACCCTGATCCCAGTTCTTTGCCCAGGGCCACGGCTGACCTGCCGATCTGCTGGTAGACTGTCTGCTGTAAATGTGAGTACAGGTCTTCCACGGTGCTCGGTGGTTCTTGATACGGCTTATTATCGTCGACCCTTCTCACAAGAGTGGCCTGGGTAACAAAGTGGTCAACAAAACAGAAGAAACACAATACGGAAGTAAACGCGCAAATCACGCTGTATATTCTACAGCTAGGGGACCCTTTGATCTTAAAGTGCACTATTCTTAATTGCTATCGCGTTAGGCAGCAACTCTAATAATAGCTTGCATGCCGTCTTACTGGTAGGACCCAATAAATTGCTCTTCAGAAATGCTTTCGGCTAAGAAAATTTTCAAAAAAATTAATTGTTGATATGAGCTCTTTGTAAGGCAAAGGAACAGCGAAAAATAAATACTATACCCAGTGCATTGCATACGTGCAATTTTATCAATTGTTAAAGTGGTCGCACATGCGTCGGTCGGAGTGCTAGCAACTATGTTCAAAGTGAATTTTTACCATGGCACCATCAACCGTGGTGAGGACGTATTGTCTTTCTCAGCTTGCAATGACAGTGGAGTGCAAAATTCCATACTCCACTCCCCCATTGCCATGGGCTGTTGCCACTTGACATTTCGTAATTGGCCTTGTACGATCATGTCTACAATTTGTGGACTCTTTCATTAGTCACTTAGCAACAGTTCAGGGTCAGGTTTTTAGGTCAGTGTTAGAACAGAGGCCGTGCAGCATGGCAGTGCATAACGGTCCTAACAGGAGGACCGAGGTCTATATGTACTAGCTGGCCCTAACTGCCCATCTTGGGGTTCGAACCTAGGAATCTGTATCCACTCAAGCTCTACAAAATCTATACTCTTATCAATGAAAAATATGATTTCTATCAAATAATAGAACTCCTACATACACAAGCTTGCACACTGTTTTATGAGTTTGGTTCAAGAGTACTTACATATATGTCACCTTCACCACCAAACGACGTTGAGACTGAGTTACGAATGGCACTGCGTTGCATCGCAGATCCTGTCGTCACAGCACTTCCACCATTCGTGTCAGGATCGTGTCTTTGCAGCGAATCATAGGTGTCCTCACCAGTGGCTTGACTTGCGCCTTGCACACTGGATGGCCGCCTAGCCGGAGTAGCATATTCATTACGCGGTGCTGGCTGTCGCTGTGCATCACCCTACACAGAACATATCACAAGACGTATGTTTCCACATCGCTATATGTTTCCATATCGCTATTCTTCCCCTCCACCCACCCACCCACCCCCCCACCCCCCCCCGTTAGGCGCTGCATCTGCTGCTAGGGTTTACCGGGTGTTAGCGGCCATCGTGAGTTCCCTTCGGGAATGGACACAATAATTCACTTATATTACTTAAATCAGAGAGGTTCCAGGCTGTCCAAGAGAGTGCTCAATACCGAGAGGCAGAGCTAGTTCGAACAATAATAAGAGGTTGAAAAAAGTGTTTTTACTCCGAGTTTCACACACTAAGCTATCATCCGAAAACAGTACTGTTTTGTTATTATTGTTTACATAACTTAAATCTTATCTGAGCACAAGGCCCCTTAGGCTGTGTTGTCCATTATCGGACACAGTGTAGCACAGAGGTATGTGTCCACACCAGGTTTAGTAGTAACCAGATCTCAACATTAGTCCATACTGCAGACCAATGTACACAGTACCATACTGATCAGACTAACAAGTCGCTGACCTACTCATACTGCAGACCAATGTAGACAGTACCATACTGATCAGACTGACAAGTCGCTGACCTACTCATACTGCAGACCAATGTACACAGTACCATACTGATCATACTGACAAGTCGCTGACCTACTCATACTGCAGACCAATGTACACAGTACCATACTGATCATACTGACAAGTCGCTGACCTACTCATACTCGAAAACGTGCTGTGAGCCTACGAATTTTCGGCGCGTTTAAATTTCAGCCTCCCAGGGCTAAAGCACATTTTGGCAGCATTACAATTTCAGCCTGTACTGCTGCTGCCTGTATACACTGTCACACTGAACCTTGCAATGCAACATTTCAGCCTCAACAAATTAAGGCGAGCTAAAAATGGCCAAGCCGAAAGTAGCCGATAATAAATTTGTGCCGAATATTTATTGTTGCCTTACAGTATGCAAAACAGAGAGGTTCCAGGCTGTCCAAGAGAGTGCTCAATACCGAGAGGTAGAGCTAGTTCAAACAATAGGAGGACAGAGAAACTGTTTTCTGATGATCGCTTAGTGCGTGAAACTCGGAGTAAAAACACTTTCTCTGTCCTCCTATTGTTTGACTTGCAGTATGTTTAGAACTAGAGAGCATGCACTCGTGGGCCATTGGTTAGCTGACCAACATCACGACGTACATGAAGATAGAAATCTGTTCTGGGAGCAGGGGCTGGGGGAGAGAGAGCTGGGGTGAGGGATGGGGGGGGGGGGAGGGAGCTGGGGTGAGGGATGGGGGGGGGGGGGAGAGGGAGCTGGGGTGAGGGATGGGGTATACAGTGCTATTCAGGCATGAATTAAGACATGCAGGGAACTGCAGGGATCTGCATGTCAAAACACACAGGCGAGCATGATCCCCAGTCCTACTCAACGTTACCCCCGAGGCCAAACTACAGATATTTTACAATATGCTAACCTAAAAGATACTGCTATTGCACATGAGCAAGGAAGAATGAGAGAGAGAGTGAGTGAGTGAGTGAGAGAGAGTGAGAGAGAGAGAAGAGACAGAGACAGGGAGAAAGAGAAAGAGAGAGAAAGAGTACGTTCTGAATTGCATTAGCATACCACACAAAAATACCATGTGAGCACGCGTTGACCAGACTAGTAAGATGTGTTTGCAGTGTTTGCAGGTGCCGTCCAACTTACCCCAGCTACAGCACCATTGGCAGTAGATACTTGATGTTGCTCCGGACTAGGGTCAAGATTGTCTACGTAGTCATTTTGAATATGACCAACATGGAACGGAATAGCTGGAGAACAACAGAAAATACACAGAAACACTCAGCATTGAAAAAAAGTTAAGTGAATTCCCTCAAACCAGATGACAGTACCTTGCCAAATGACAGTTCGTTTAATTAAGCAAGAGTACATAACCCCTAGAGTGTGTAACCGCCTGCACAACCTCTATACAGTGCTGCGATGGCAGTACTTCACATCACGTGACATGGTTCAAAAGGTTACGCTGGCAAACAGTGCAAAGTGACCACAAGAGAGTTGAACCCAAAATACAGCTGAGCACAATCCTGTATCTATCATGCGCAGGGTGCAAATTATGTGTACGGGTTCGTCACGTGATGTGAAGTTCTGCCGTCGCAGACTCCATAGCTGGAGTTGCACAGAGCATTCCGTGAGTGCATGGAAGAGCACATGTTTTGTCCGCTAGCCAGCATCCCCCAAATCAGGGAAAGCCAGCAGAAAACTCAGGTGATATGGCAGAGCTACGAATATACTGCATCCAACTGTAGTAATCAAACTGGAAAGATCAGACGTTGGAGCGTCGGTGCGATCATCGCTTTTCATGCGCATCACAACGTCTGGATGGGCAAGGAGCACACATACATGTATGTACGGTGTATTAAACCCACCGGATGCCAACGCTGTATTCAGCACCATGCTACACAGTTATAAGTTTAGTAGGAAGATGCTTTGCACTACTGTAGTTTTACGTATAAAAGAATGACCTGTATAGAAGCTTGACTCGAATAGAAGCCGATTTTTCCAAAGCGCGCCATGACACAGAAGCACGATTTGATTAGAAGTCGCTCTCTGCAAAATGCATGTGCAAGTACTTGCACAGTACATGCGTGTCAGAACGCACTGCACAGCGCAGACTGATGACGTTGACGTAGAAGCATGTTCTGAATAGAACCATAACTTGAATAGAACCATGGCTCGAACCCCGGCTTATACGGCCGTAAGCACCTGCTATTATACGGGACATAACGGTATACTATGCCACATCTGTTGAGGCATGCAATCACCAGACAGTATCTTTACGTGCGCATGTCTCACCTCCATCTGTTGCACTCATATTGTTGAGAGCCACGCCGTATGCCGAGTTACTAACGCCTTCCAAGAAATCCGATGCAGCACTGCCCATGCGCAGGGTAGCACTGCCCTTATTGTGCTGTCGTCGTCTAACCAGAACAATCAGAACAATGACTGCTACCAGTGCCAATAGCCCGCATACACAACCAATTACAATGGGTAGAGTAGAGGATGAAGATGATTGTGACTCAGGGCCCGGACCAAACACAGGTGTTGTACTGACGGTTAATATTGATGTTAACGAAGATGATGATGATGTTGATATAACATGGCTAGTGGAGGATGGAGCGGTTGGTGGAGCAGACGACATCTGGGTTGAAGTTGGTTTGATTTTTGGCTGTGTTGTTGTCACTGCTGATATTTCAGTTGTCGGCCCTTCAGTTGTCTGGCCTTGAGTTGTCGTGGCTGCTTGAGTTGTCTGCCCTTGAGTTGTCGGCCCTGGAGTTGTCGGCCCTTGAGTTGTCGTGGCTGCTTGAGTTGTCTGCCCTGGAGTTGTCGGCCCTTGAGTTGTCGGCCCTTGAGTTGTTGGCCCTTGAGTTGTCTGCCCTTGAGTTGTCGGCCCTTGAGTTGTTGGCCCTTGAGTTGTCTGCCCTTGAGTTGTCGGCCCTTGAGTTGTCGGCCCTTGAGTTGTCGGTACTAAAGTTGTCGGCCCTTCAGTTGTAGGCCCTTCAGTTGTCGGCCCTTCAGTTGTCTGGCCTTGAGTTGTCGTGGCTGCTTGAGTTGTCTGCCCTCGAGTTGTCGGCCTTTGAGTTGTCGGCCCTTGAGTTGTCGGCCCTTGAGTTGTCTGCCCTTGAGTTGTCTGCCCTTGCATTGTCGGCCCTTGAGTTGTCGGCCCTTGAGTTGTCGGTCCTTGAGTTGTCGGCCCTTGAGTTATTGTGGCTGCTTGAGTTGTCTGCCCTTGAGTTGTTTGGCTTTGAGTTGTCGGCCCTTGTGTTGTCGGCCCTTGAGTTGTCGGCCCTTGAGTTGTCGGCCCTTGAGGTGTCGGCCCTTGAGTTTTCGGCCCTTGAGTTGTTTGGCCTTGCGTTGTCGGCCCTTGTGTTGTCGGCCCTTGAGTTGTCGGCCCTTGAGTTGTCAGCCCTTGAGTTGTCGACCCTAGAGTTGTTTGCCCTTGAGTTGTCGACTCTGGAGTTGTTTGCCCTTGAGTTGTCCGCCCTTGAGTTGTCGGCCCTTGAGTTGTCGGCCCTTGAGTTGTCGGTCCTGGAGTTGTCGGTCCTGGAGTTGTCGGCCCTTCAGTTGTCGGCCCTTCAGTTGTCGGCCCTTCAGTTGTCGGCCCTTCAGTTGTCGGCCCTTGAGTTACCGTTGCTGCTTGCGTTGTCGATAACGACTCTGTAGTTTGGGTTCCTGCCTGTGAGTTGGTAGGTATCGTAGTTTCCAATGAAGACGGTGATGAAAAATAAGAGGCTATTGTTGGTGGAGAATCCGTTGACACTGCAGGGCTTGTTGGTGCGGTTGTGGATGTTCCAGTTGTCGTAGCTGCTGTTGTTGCGGCTAATGTCGTTGATGCCACTGTTGTTGATGATGTTACGGCTGCTGTTGTTGTTCCTGCTCCTGTTGTTTCACCTGCTTCTCTTGTCGTTGTTGCTGATGCTGTAGTTGGTGCTGTAGATTCTGGTATTGTCACTGGTGTTGTTGCTGCTAATGATGTTGTTGATGTTGGTGTTGTTGTTGGTGTGGTTGTTGGTGTGGTGGTTGGTGTGGTGGTTGGTGTGGTAGTTGTTGTAGTTGTCGGTGTGGTTGTTGGTGTGGTTGTTGGTGTGGTTGTTGGTGTGGTGGTTGGTGTGGTGGTTGGTGTGGTAGTTGGTGTGGTTGTTGGTGTGGTTAATGGTGTGGTTGTTGGTGTTGTTGTTGGTGTTGTTGTTGGTGTAGTTGTTGGCACCGTGGTAGGAATGTAAGTACAAGTACCGGAAGCACCACCCGTTCCACTGTATCCACTCTTACATACACAACTGTATGATCCAAATGTATTACTACACACATTGTTTGTGTAGGACTGACAAGGTGTTGATGTGGAACATTCATCATCATCTGATACAGCACACCAGACAACCACAATATCAATCACACTCAGTTCAGCTTAAATGCCATGCAATTACAGGGCCGGCGCCACTGGTACGGCCATGGCCGTACCAAAAAAAAAAAAAAAAAACCCTTCCAAAAAGTCGGTCCACGTGGCCGTGGAACGTCCAAAACCGGGGAGAAAAAGTCTCCATGTATGATTTTGTACAGGGAGTCGCCCAGAGTGCAGGATTTGCCGTCTTAATTCCAAACAAATTCTCGGGGAGGACCCCCAGACCCCCCCCCCCTAAATATGGCCCTTCGGCCGCACCACTCCGCGGAAGCTGCCTCCGGCCCTGAATTAGGAACTCAACTAAAACTCAAAAGACACCATGGTTAGATATTTATATTAACCCGACTGCTGCATGGACAATAAGTACTGCGAATAGTGATCATGCACCCTGGCTTGAGTAACTCACTTGGCTAATTGAAAGTCTGCCGACCTGGGCCACGTTATGTTGCTAGTACATGCACAACCCCAGTCACAGAGCACAAGTTGGTTGAGTTTGGCTGTCAGGAGGCCAGCGCAAGGTATCCGGGGCACGGATCTGATTCCAGCGAGGGGCAATGTGGTACCCCACAGCACACGGGTAGCGTGATACCCTGCGCAGCACAAGGGTAGCGTGATACCCTACGCCAGCGTGCGCGCTGCATGAGTAGCGTGATACTCGCCGAGCGCTTTTGCTGTTGCCTAGCAACGCGTTTCTGTCTTTCCTGGGCCCCCAAATGCATGGGGGGTGGCCCTGCACATGACTGCACGTTGTCATAGCAACCTTTGAAATCTCAAGCCGGTTACCAACAAGCTAGGAATCAGACCAAGCCGCCGAATGCCCCCGCCGGCCACCGGCGCTTCATTGCAATTGAATTAATATTTTGCCCAGAATAGTGAGCTAGGACAGATCAAATTACAATGTAGCTTGGAGTACCATCATGCTGAGTGGCACTCATTGTGAGACGTAGGATAGTGTAGAGTGATAATAAATTTCAGGACGCGTGGGTGGGAGGGAGAAATTGCAAAACAGTTGGATGCACGCAGCAGCACAGCTAGCAAGAGAAAGAAGCCGTGGATGAGTTTGTTCCTGTTTTTGATGGCTGTGGCCATCCGTTGGCCCAACGGTCTCGTGTGAGTACAGCGTTTGTTTGTGCTGCCAGTTCGCGCCCGGCGTTTGTTTGTGCTGCCAGCTCGGGCCCGGTGCGCGAGTGAAACCGAACCGTGAAAGAGGCTTTCGCTCCTTAGTGCTATTGACTGGCTTTTCATACAATGCCTATTGATGTCTAGAGACATGCTGTCTAGCCTTCCCCTGGCACGCATTCACGGGGCTTTGTTGAAGTTCGTACCGTGAACTGCCAAAGGGAATTGTTTGAATGGTGCTGGGGCGAGTGCGACATTACGGCGTCCCTGCAGCCGGCCTAATCGCGTTTGTCGCCACAACCGATTTCTAGTGGTACAAAGCCAACAGGCTGTCCTAGTAAGCCCATATCCATGGTGTGTATTCCGCTAGTACACTCACACCTCGCCTATCCGCACCCCGGACTTTTACCGGCATTTTGGTCTACCGGGCACCCTATGGCTGAACTTCAGTGGAAATATTTCTACTCTTTGTCACTTTTTGTGGGAAATAGTGACGTCACATGCCATATCTATGGCCTTTCCCCATCAAAATGTATGCGATTCGGAGTTACGAACATTTCAAAGTTATAGGCAGTGCCCGGTCTCTCACCGCCCGGATAAACGCGAGATGTGAGCGTATATCTTTCAACCATCAAGTGTCTTGAATCCCTAAAATCCTGTCTGTGATCTGCTGCATGTCATCATAACCAATTCTCCGTGGCATTATGAATACACGTATTTCTTGTAACTACTTCTAACTAGAAGTATATCAAATTTCAGCCACCAGCTTCGCTAGTTCAAGCATTCCTTACAGCAGCACAACAAACACGAGCCAGCGGGCAGCTGACCCATTCTATAATCGAATGATTTTACTGGCAACATGCAGTCGTACACTCACCCTGCAATAGAAGCCGTAGTGACAACTTCATGCTGACTTTAGTTTTCAGAATGCGATCATTGTTGTTGCCTGGCAAGCCGCTGAAACCGCTGGCGTACCGAACTCCTACCGAAGCACTGGACTCTCCCAGTAAGCGACATGCTCCAGTGGTAGTTGTTATACCAATGTAAGATGTCGCTGTGTACGGGAGGGTATAACTTGGAGTACTGGCGAAGAAGTACCTTGCCAATGTCGGTCCTGTGGCTGTGGCAGGAATTTGAGCTTTCGCAGTACTAAATCTCTGAGTATACTCATTGGCTTTCAAACCCGGTGCCACCTTATCCCATACTGATAGTCTTACATCACATTGTGCTGTGCTTGAATGGTAGATTTCAAACCCTTTTATCTTGACGTTGCAGTTTTTCTTCGTGTTCATTGGCAGTATCCACGTGTAAGCATAGGCATTATTGGGTCCTTTAAGCACAGTCCCGTCTTGCGTTGGCCGATCACCAAGCACCTCACACGATGTGAATGCTGCACAAGTGAACAGAAATTCAGGCACAATCACACACACACACAAACACACACACACACACACACACACACACTTACTCGTACTTGTACTTGTTGCTCACTGCCCAAACTGGTCACGTGGGTCTCCCCGGGAGAGGGGAGAGACACTCAAAAGGAATCTTGGAAAGATGACTCAATATCTCTGAACCGCCCAATGGCCGACCCCCCTGAAATCCCCAAAACTCTGGGTGGACTTGAAAATGATCCCACTTATGGGCTCACCACACCTCAGTAAGTGGGTGAGAACAAGGCGCAGAAAAAGGATTGACGGCATCAGGGTATCCGTCCAGGGATCCAACTGCAGTTACCCCTGTCGGCTTTTACGGTATTTCAAGGGTAGTGGTAGCGATACCTGACGTATAGTTACTATACCTGTACAGTCAACTTTGCGTATAACGACACTCGGGGGGGGGGGGGGGGGCACCAGAAAAATGTCCATTTTCGCGAACTGTCCTTATACCCAAAGTCTCATTAGGCCACACGTTTTTATTTCTATGTTTCTCGTCACCTGAAAACGTATGCGAGAGATAGAAAAAAATATAAAATGACCGAAAAACGAGAGAGCTTGGAAGCTCAGGGCCCTACGCTATGCTTTTTGCCTTGATGACCTAGACCAAAAAAAGCATAGGGATGTTATAAATTCTTATAAATTTCTCATTTTTTTAGGACATAACCTGAGATTCGAACCCGCACTATCGCCCTGCATGCATCCCCCGATACACTTCGCATACATACATACTAATTCTTCCAAGTTGCTTCACATTATGATCTTTCATTTGAAAGCCCTATTTGAATATGCATTGTGGCCAGCCGTCTTTGATGGTCCGGTACGGTACGGGACAGGTACGGGACAGGTACGGTCGAGGTAATACGACACCGTCTACCGCATTGATGACATAGGCAAAAAAAGCATAGGGATGTTATAAATTTTTCAATTCTCCTTTTTTTCAGGCATAACCTGGGATTCGAACCCGCACTATCGCCCTACATGCATTCCCTCATACACTTCGCATTCATACTCATTCTTCCAAGTTGCTTCACGTTATGATCTTGCGTTTGAAAGCCCTATTTGAATATTGCGGCCAGCTGCATGTGGCCAGCTAGCTTTGTTTGATGGTACGGTACGGTACGGGACAGATACGGGATAGCGCCAGGCGTGACACAAACAAACAAACACCTTATTAAAGCTGTGTGGACCCTGGCTAGCGCCAGACGTTACTGAAGTAACGTCTTCTGCATAGCTACGGGAATAAAAAAAGTTTATTAGACCGTTGTTCACACTAAAATCTACGAATGCACCATGCAAAATATCATCCATAGTTAGCAACTAGTATGTGTTAGGAGCTTCTGTTAAAATCTGTGCATGTGCAGCTAGATTGTGCACAAAACAATGCCGACGTCGCATCATGTGTCGCGCAGGCCAGGCCACATTATGTACATGTGCTTGAGTGTGCTGGTCCCCACATGCAGTCAGTGCAGCACAGTTTTTATCTTTTTTTCCTCCAGACTCCTGAATCGTATGCGCACGGGTGACGAGAAACATAGAAATAAAAACGTGTGGCCTTATATGTATTACAGTTAGATGGAACTTTGCTCTGGGCATGAAAATTCTGCCGTCATCCGCGAATTGTCGTTATATCCGCAGTCGTTATTAGCGAAGTTGACTGTACTAGTCATGCACTAGGAAGTAGTAGCATGTGGAGAGATGGTACGGATGGGTTTAATGGTAAATTAAACAATGTGGGGTTCACTCTTGGCCGACAGTTCCAGTCACCAGGACCGGTAGAAGCATTTCTTGATTTGTCCGGCTTCCATACTACGGCTTTCATACTTTGTGTGTGATATTGCGAGCACACATTGATCCCATTGGTCATAACCTAGGCAACAGTCGCATGACCTTTCTGAATTACAATCAGACCTGCTGGTACAGCACGGGAATACCATAATACTGGTACAGCACTGACTAGCCCTGAGCACTCATTGGCCATAGCCTAGGCAACAATCACATGACCTTTAAAATTACATTCAGAGCTGCTGGCATAGCATGGGACAACCACACATCGGTGCAGCACTTGAGCTGAGTGGCAATGCGCTCCCATTGGCCATAGCCTAGGCAACATTCGCATGACGTTTCTGAATTATGTCCAGAAATGTTGGTACCTGCATGAGAGATCAGACACAAGCCTACTCTTCAACCAGTCTATCCTGCAACCAAACTACTCTGCAACCAGCCTATCCAGCAACCAGCCTATCCAGCAACCAGCCTATCCCCGCAACCAGCCTATCCAGCAACCAGCCTATCCAGCAACCAGCCTATCCAGCAACCAGCCTATCCAGTAACCAGCCTGTCCAGCAACCAGCCTATCCAGCAACCAGCCTATCCAGCCACCAGCCTATCCAGCAACCAGCCTATCCGGCAACCAGCCTATCCAGCAACCAGCCTATCCAGCAACCAGCCTATCCAGCAACCAGCCTATCCAGCCACCAGCTTATCCAGCAACCAGCCTATCCAGCAACCAGCCTATCCAGCCACCAGCCTATCCAGCAACCAGCCTATCCAGCCACCAGCCTATCCAGCCACCAGCCTATCCAGCCACCAGCCTATCCAGCAACCAGCCTATCCAGCAACCAGCCTATCCAGTAACCAGCCTGTCCAGCAACCAGCCTGTCCAGCAACCAGCTTATCCAGCCACCAGCCTATCCAGCAACCAGCCTATCCAGCCACCAGCCTATCCAGCCACCAGCCTATCCAGCCACCAGCCTATCCAGCAACCAGCCTATCCAGCAACCAGCCTATCCAGCAACCAGCCTATCCAGCAACCAGCCTATCCAGCAACCAGCCTATCCAGCAACCAGCCTATCCAGCCACCAATCTATCCAGCCACCAGCCTATCAAGCAACCAGCCTATCCAGCCACCAGCCTATCCAGCCACCAGCCTATCCTGCAACCAGCCTATCCAGCCACCAGCCTATCCAGCAACCAGCCTATCCAGCAACCAGCCTATCCAGCAACCAGCCTATCCGGCAACCAGCCTATCCAGCAACCAGCCTATCCAGCAACCAGCCTATCCAGCAACCAGCCTATCCAGCAACCAGCCTATCCAGCAACCAGCCTATCCAGCAACCAGCCTATCCAGCAACCAGCCTATCCAGCAACCAGCCTATCCAGCAACCAGCCTATCCAGCAAGCAGCCTATCCAGCAACCAGCCTATCCAGCAACCAGCCTATCCAGCAACCAGCCTATCCAGCCACCAGCCTATCCAGCAACCAGCTTATCCAGCAACCAGCCTATCCAGCAACCAGCCTATCCGGCAACCAGCCTATCCAGCAACCAGCCTATCCAGCAACCAGCCTATCCAGCAACCAGCCTATCCAGCAACCAGCCTATCCAGCAACCAGCCTATCCAGCAACCAGCCTATCCAGCAACCAGCCTATCCAGCAAGCAGCCTATCCAGCAACCAGCCTATCCAGCAACCAGCCTATCCAGCAACCAGCCTATCCAGCCACCAGCCTATCCAGCAACCAGCTTATCCAGCAACCAGCGTGTAACTCCACTATAGATCACAACAGATTGACTTACTATTACAAGTAAAGTTGTCACCTTGCAGAAATCCAGGTGAGCAGAGTGGTTCAGCAGGTGAGAGACAATTCTGCTGCTCAACAAGTCCAGAGCATGCTGAACATGATGACAGGCTGGCTGGCAAAGCACAATCTGTACAGGCATGCACACACACACAGACACCCATATACGCGCGCATACACACACACATACACACACACACACACACACACACAAACACACACAAACACATGTGCATAAACATACATACTATTAAAATGAATTGTGGATGTGAAGGGTACACCAAACAGTTCCAATTCAAAACAAAATAGCGCGAGGCTCATTGTGTGGCGCACACAACTTCTGCCTCGGCAGATTTATTTTCAGAGACAGCCGAGTATCGACCATCTGGACAATCGATTGTCCTGAATAGGCTCATTAGGGCGGATAAGGGAGTTCAAGAATTCACTTAGAAATCCAGCATAGGATATACAGCAACAAGAGCATCGTACTTACTGCCCATAGTGACTATTTCAGGTTGAAACAGCTCCTCGGTGAAGAGCCTCACAGACAGCAGACGGCTAACATGATCAGATGTTGACGATGCGCCCAGTCCTTTGAAGTACGTACCAGGCTGAATGGTAACACCACTTGATGCTATTTCACTTCCGTGTAAAAGAATACGAAGTGTACGGGGACCCTCCAGGTACACTAATGCTGTGGCTAGAAGACCAAACTCTGGCATTGTGTCGCTGGAAGTGGCCAATGGTATCGTTGATGTCTATATGACATGTAGGCAAACAGAGAAACAGGCAGACAGATGGATGACATGTGTTGCGTGGGACTGGCGCGGGTCACGTTTCACCTTCTCCTTTGGTGGACCAATTCTGCATGGCATAGTGAAAGGCAAGTCGTTGCCGAGGACAAGCACAACTAGAAGTATCTGTTGTGGAGCAATTCCCAGTGCAGATAATAAAGAAAACCATTTCTTCTGGAGTATGCACGATCATAAAAGCACATGATCGAAATGAACGGAAACGAGAATGATTTGACACTGCGTGCTGAGAGAAGCAAGGAATGAACAGGTACGACCATATCTCTAAAACTACGAGAACAGGCAACAACTCAAGGCAAGGTACATTCTTTTCTCAGTTCTGTTTTCTGGAAACACACGGGATGTACGTGATCACTGCTATAGCGGGGCCACGCGACTCACGTGCACCAACCCCGGCGTGGCACCACGCTTTTGTCAATCCTGTATGCCTTCTGTGAGCGCTGACATTGCATCATCATGTCAAAGCATAATATGATTCAATGCTATCCACACACAGATTACAATTCACACGAGGATCTTACCACTCCATTCATGGAAGTATCAATCATTGAAAGCGAGGCATCAAATTTCACTGTCGATCCTTGTACAGTCTTCTTGACATAGTAGTTCACGTAGCCTGGACAATGAGCAGGGTACATTACACAATACCAATACTCCATTACCATGCATACACAGTCATGGTGGCAATACTCTCTGGTTGGTACTGGCTAAAACCTATGATCACCATCTTGATAAAAAGAGAAGAAAACACCTGGGAACGAGTTATGCAGCAACTATCCACGACTGTAACAAGATGATAAACAGTCAGAAAGTGCGATAATAGGGCACAAACTGACAGGCTACTGAGACATTCAGCGACCTGAGACGTAGCTTTAACACCCCCCCCCCCCCTCCCTGTAACAGTCGGCTTTCTGTCAAGATCGTGCAGTAACTGTCGCACTTCACGGCTAACAAATATCTTGGTTAGAGAACTGTTGGATAACAATGGGCAATGTACGAACTATTCATTCTCGCTTTCTGACAAATGTGCCAATGTTTCCACTTCTAGTCTCACAAGTTTGCCTTCTGCACCCAATAACCAATAACTAATAACTTTCTTCTGTTTCGGGCATGCTGTTGGTCATTCAGGTAAGCCAAATCATGAAAGGCACATGCTGACATCATAGTGAAAAAGAACACACTAGCGTGGCATAAGTACTTTATCACACGTAACTAGTACACCCACATTTAAACAAATACAGTCAGACCTCGCTTATCCAGTCCTCTTTTATCCGGATCCCTCAGCATCTGGAAGAAAATCGTTGATTACCGATTTACAGCATACGCCATGCATACATACAGTATGTGTTTTTGATTATCCGGTTCCATCGTCTATACGGATATTTGTAGTTATGCGAGGTCTGACTGCAGTACACTGTAGGAATTCAAGTCGAGCATACTCTCGTTGCCTTTGTCTTCTTCTCCCCCTTGCTCATTCAAATGCATCATAATCATGCACCACCTTATATCCAAACCAAAACTCTTTTAAGTGTCTCATACACAGCACTAGAGAGATGAGGCATCACAGAGTCGTTCTCTGACCCGTTGCCCGCACCACCCACTATTCCTCCTCACCCGTGACTTCCTTGCTAAAATGAGCCTTTTCAATGGTCTACCCCGAGACCTAAGATCCATTCAAAACCTCTCCTATTGTAAGACCCAAATCTCTGGGCCCAGGTAATCTAGCGTATGCTCTTGCTCTTATCTCCAATGCAGTCTCAGCTAGGTCATACCGTAGGATCCCGCGGATAAGCTCACCCGCGTATAAGATCATGCTCGCGCATAAGCCCAGGCCAAGTTCGAACATGGTGAAGCTTCGTTGTACAAGCTCATGGGCCTGGGTCGTACCATGTAGATCTACACGAAACAGATAAGCCCGTGGGCGTATCCGCGGGATTCTACAGTGTGTTGTTATGGATAGCTAGCATAGCACTCTTCTCCCTGGATATTTCCCTAGACCAAAAGTAGATGGAACTACGTCAATTTATTTAATGCAGAGTTAAACAGAAGTATGTTGATCGGTTCAAGTATGGGTGAACAGTGAAGGTTAGTAAGGTTGTTGTTGCTAGGAAGAAAAAGGACCAAGGAACTACAAGTTCCGTTGGCCAGTGCCATGCATGAGCTGCTTGTCAAGCAACTGATGGTGTTAGTGGACATAAAATAATTTGTAGTTCATTGGTCCTTTTTTCTTCCTATAAACCCTTGGCTCTCCATCCGAGCAGTTGTTGTTGTACCACTTACCCATATTGGTGTAGAAGAGGATAACGGTGGTCGCCGTTGTTGTGGCTTGAGGGAAGTCAATGGTTGCTACCAATGTCCACGTTGATGAGAGATCCACACCAGACTGTATAATATTAAGTAGCACAAACACGCACGCATACCCCCCCCCCCCCCCCCCCCCACACACACCCACCCAACACACATACGCACATAGGTGAACAAACACACACAGACACAGACACACATCTCTTACAGTGATAATTACAACAGCGACAGTACTCACATGGCACACTTAGTAAAGATTTCCGATACAGAATACGATTAGTGAAGAGAACCAGAGACGGAGAAGCAGATTGGAAAGAGGCGGGGGGGGGGGGGGCAAGGGGGGAGGGGGTAGTGGCATAGAGATTCAGCACTGCTATAAGAAAATTCACTGGTGTCAACACAGCCTTTGGTAGAGCCATTGATCCAAGCACTGAGCTCTGACAAAAAAATGTTGATGCCAACAATTCGGAACAGGATTAAAGACAGTCCAACAGCAAATGTAGGACTAACCTGGGGTGTTGCGATAGAAATTCCAAAACTACCAGTGAAGCTCAGGACTGGAGTATCACGAGGTCCAATGTGAGTAGTGGCTATCGCCCCAGGATTCTGAACAATCAAAACAAGCAATGGTGTATCCGCTGAGTAATGGAAAAACAAGTACTCGTGTCAGTACTACAAGTCCAACATTCGTGAATAACACACCACGGAACTCGACACAACTGAACACAATGCTGAATGTTCACCACATTCTGATGCCCAGCGTCATTGAACAATACCTCTAACCCGGTCAAAATGCCTAGGATGAGGTAAGTTGATCAGAATAGAGAGGTCAAGCTCCACGTTATTTTGACGTGACGCGAAAATTCCGCTCGCGTTATTTGGCTCGCGTATGATGAAAACAATGCGAGTGAGCTGCATCTCACAACACAATTTGGCGTGTTACGCCAATTATCGACCCATTTGACTTAAAATTATGTGCGCAGCCTAACCTCTCTATTGAACTGTACTTCAACCCTATGCAGCCAACTCTGCTCAGCCATGGTCATAGGGCAGCATGTCGGACATGGCCGATGAAACACGACACAACCAACGAAATGCCACACAGCAATGGAATGCGACACAGCCAACGGAACACCAAACAGCCAATGGAATACCAAAGAGCCAATAGAATACCACGCAAACACTACACAACCATTGAGGCACTACACTGCCAATGATGTTAGTATCAGAGGCCAATAAAATACCACACGGTCAGTGAAGAATCACACAAATAAAGAGACAAATTATTTCAAATATCTATTACACTTTTAATAACGACTGCCCCATTTATCTTGGGATTGGACGGAGTTATATTCGACCCCATTCCACTCCAACCGCAGTCCAAAAAGTGATAAAACCTATCCAGAAGGGTAAGCAAATAGAATAGCATTCAAACTCCTTATTCCAATTCGCAAACTCCCCAGACACCTGACCGTCATTGCGTTTGAGTAGGTGACCTAATGGCTTCTCAAACCTGTAGCTGTTCAAACCAATGGTTGCAGAAAACAACGGGTATATCAACCATTGGGTGCACAATGCAACGGGTATATCAACCTTTGGGTGTATGATTCAATCATTCACACATATGCCGCACTTACAGTGATGTTCAGTGGAAACACTACGCCATCGTATTGAGCTTGTTGCTGTTCGTAGGCCACTGAGTCTATGGCCAGCACATCTATGCAAGCGAACAAAAAGCAACAAGAATACACGGTGACACCACAATCATACTGCTTTATGATGGCAGTACGCAGCAAGAGAGAGTCGACAAGGTCTCAGGTTCATTTTGCGTACGCACCGCATTCCTTGAGAGAGATAGCCAGCATTAACTTGAGTAATACACTGACATTTGTGCAGGAGTGGTGTGGTTTGTTCTTAAACCCTAGCATATCCGGCTAGGGTCTGCACATGGTTGATGGTCGGTTGAAGGCTGCATTTGTTTGATGATAGCTTAGGAGAATGTTCGCACACCATGCTATTTCTTGCTCCTCAAAATGACCATCACTATTAGGGCAATAAGGCCTATATGCTCTCACCGGACAGAAAACGTACGTAAACTTCATCGACTCCAAATGCATTTCTGGCGTCATCAGATCTGAAGATATGCATGCTCATCGTGCAGTGACCAGAGCCCACTCATCATGAAAGAACGCTGGCAAATCACTATGGTACAAACTCACTGATACAATGTGACGTGGCTTGTCTCAACAGAGTGCCGGGTGGACATACTCCTTGGCCGCATACTCCTTGAAGGACTGCACATGAGAAAGATGTCGGTCCACACAATGAAACAAGCACACATAGCGCATTTACAAATCTGGATATTAAAGTAGAAGAAAGTATCAAGTATGTCTACAGTTACCCCCTCCTCCTCCCCCCCCCCCCCCCCCCCCGGCAGTAGTCAGGTACGCCCGTGATGGGCGCTTGCACATTTACAAATGCACTACCTAATGTACTATGGCCCTGTGCAGTCGGAATGCCCCCACATGAGCACGATTCAAAACAGCACGTTATGCAGTCAGAAACCATTGATTTGTTTGCTCAATCACCGTGCAGAGAACTATAGTAATGTAGTGTACCATGTGAAGCTCACACACCGTCCGTAGTGGGCTCAATTTGCCGAAGGCAAAGAGCGCAATACACAGACAGAAGAACGAGCAGTTGCGGTTTCATAACTCTGAGTTCCACCAACTGAATCGATCATCAGACAATTGAGACTGACCCTGCCTTGAGAATAGTGCTATATACCAAGAATGTGGCAAGCCCAGCATCACAGTATTACCATGTGATACGTAGCGCGATATGGAGTGTGTGAGAAGGTTTTAGTTATCTATGCAATGCGACGTGATATTCTCGTGGAATCAGGTGACAAAGCTTGACAAGAGATGTTATTTCGCCTAGCTGTGGAGAGAAAGTGTACTTTTTCTGTGTATAAGCGACATTCTGCTCGAGTCAGGTGACAAAAACTTGACAAGTAGTATTTGTTCTCATCGCGGTACTTCGACACAATCTCGGATTGCTTGTTGAGGCATTTGGCCTTGTCTGCACGAGCGATGAAAAGTTTCTCCATGAGGCAGAGATCATACCTATTGCTTGAGCTGGAGTATTTCGGTGTATAAGCGACATTCTGCTCGAGTCAGGTGACAAAAACTTGACAAGTAGTATTTGTTCTCATCGCGGTACTTCGACACAATCTCGGATTGCTTGTTGAGGCATTTGGCCTTGTCTGCACGAGCGATGAAAAGTTTCTCCATGAGGCAGAGATCACACCTCTTGCTTGAGCTGGAGTGGGCCCTTGCAGGCCGGGCGATTGGCTATGCGATTGGGTGCGGCTTGCCACCCCTCTTCAACTTCCACACATGCTTAGAGAGCTCTGGGTTTTTCTCATACCGCTCATGCCGGAATGTGGTGAGGTGGCCGTTGTATCTTTGCTTGAACGTGTTTTCTGAGAATATCACGTAACAATGCACAGATAACTAATGCTTACTCACACACTCCATATAGCGCTACATATCACTCGTCTGGTAATTGTTATGCTGGGCATGCCACATTCATGGTATATAGCACTATTCTCAGGGCAGGGTCAGTATCAATTTTCGTCTGATGATTGATTCAGCTGGTGAAACTGAGAGTTACGGAACCGCAACTGCTCGTTCTTCTGTCTGTCACGTAATGTAGTGTACAGTCAGACCTCGCTTATCCGCTCCTCTTTTATCCGGACCCCTCCGCGCCATCCGGAAGAAAATAGCTGGTTACAGATGTACAGCATACGTGATGCATCCAACAAAACCGGCGTTTGATTATCCGGTTCCCTCACCTATCCGGATACTTTAGTGGAAAACGGATGTGTGCGGTTAAGCCAGGTCTGACTGTAGTATTGTAGTATTTTTTCCCTGAAGTGGTACCAAACAAAGTCCAGACTATCCTTCATCAGGGTGCAGCGCGTTGAGTTTTCCCACACAACTATCATAGCAAACTCGTAGCACCGGACTACGGTGTGCTCACTGCTGTGCCTATGCAGAGGCCTGACCACTCTGCACGTCATTTGGTCACAGTTGTAATCACTAAGGAATCTACTCATACTAAGTGTGATGCCTTAGTGGCCACAGCTACAGTAAGATTCCTAATCCGGGCAGCTTGGGAAGGAGCACTGCCCAAAACTAGGATTCGCTCATAACTCAGAACATTCACTGGTTTGAGGGACGGGAAAAGTCTGAAGAAAAAATTGACTGTCACCACCAGGATTCGAACCAGGGACCCTCGCTTGTAGCCAGCGATGCTCTAACCACTGAGCTATGGTGTAGTCGTCATCCCAGCAGAGACCGTTCATCATTTTCTTCAGACTTCGCACTCAGAACATACATACGTAGTGCATGCAAATAAACATGTTTATGCTGATCAATGTTTTTGCAGCCAATTTTTGCTGAAAGTCAATTTATTTTGTGACTCTAGTTGGGTCAGAAAGGTACTTGGTATACGGATTTGCCATGATTGGGGGCGTCTGGATTAGTGGAGGCTTACGGTACTAACTTCCGAATGATAATTATTGTGAATGTCACGGCCTGCTGAGCTCTAGCACAAGACCTTCTTATCATGCACACACACGCACGCACGCACATGACAACACACACACACACACATCCGCACACATGTGTGTGCCGCACGTGTACACACACTTGTACTTGTTGCTCACTGCCAAAACTGGTCACGTGGGTCTCCCCGGGAGAGGGGAGAGAGACTCAAAAGGAATCTTGGAAAAATCACTCAATTGCCTATTGAACCGCCCAATGGCCGACACCCCCTGAAATCCCCAAAACTCTGGGTGGACTTGAAAATGATCCCACTTATGGGCTCATCACACCTCAGTAAGTGGGTGAGGACAAGGTGCAGAAAAAGGATTGACGGCATCAGGGTATCCGTCCTGGGATCCAACTGCAGTTACCCCTGCCCCCAGTGAAGGTAATACTTGCTACTAGTGTGGGTACACGCACATACATACATGCACACAACCACAACTACCACCACTAGGCCCAAGAGCTGAAGCCCACTGCAAAGTGATCTAAATTCCACTCTAACATAGGAAATTCATTCATGTTCCTGATGATCGCTTCGATTAGTGCTATGCACATTTGATTCGGTTATGGTTCTAGGTAAATATTTACTCACAGGTGAGCGTCGCCAACGTCCAAATCAGCAACCGGTGCACCAAGTGGGTGTGCAGGCACCCTGACCACGTCATTGCACTGCTACACTGGCCTGCGTCGCCTTCTTTCCCGACACTTCAGTTGACCCGCAGCGCTCTTGTAGAATTACGGACTGAATCGGAATTTCTTACCCACGGACAAGCACACCCCTCAGTCCCCACGCCAAGGCAACGCCAAGGCCACTGCCGCAAAGGTGCGGCTAGAGGGGTTGAAATCAAATCATTCACATCGCTGCCACGACTTCCCTCTCCCACCTACCATTACCAGTTAGTGCAGGGAAAGTCGAACGCTCCGACCAGAAACACCGCACCTGTTCACGTGCGGGCCGACGTGCTAGGCACGGCTATTTCCATTTTCCTCCACATGACAGCCAGTTCGACAGTCAAGCCGAGCAGAAAAGTACTCGTCCATGTCCACTTGGTCGTGGCAAGTCGGGTGACGCAAAGGGCCTGCTGTGCTGCAATGAGTTAGCGAGTGAGACTCTCCCGAGGCTTATGAAATAGCTGCTTGCCATTATGCATTGGTGATCTACACTACAGCGCCATATCTGGAAGCAGTGGTTTGCCTCTTCTCCAAAAAATGATAGGGCTGACTTCAATCGTACATGTACTGACGTAGTCGTAGTCTGGAAAAGACTCTTGCCTTGGCAGCTCTGGTCTGACACAGTGACAGCCTCACCAAGTATGGGTAGATCTAGACTCTACATCTAGCGCGACACCAGGACACTCACGATGGCAGAGACAGCGGAGCCCAGTCCATGCGCCAGCACTGCACAGACACTGAGACAGTAGCATGCAGGCCAGGCCAGGGTTAGGCTGCGTTTGTACTGTACTGTAGCACACTGCATGAGCTCAGTATGCGATTCCTGTGCATGTGATCACCAAGACACCATGATCACGTGCACGGTCAGTGTTGGTGTTGCCCCCCCCCCCTCCCAGATGATTTTCTCCGTGAGTCAGTATTCATGGTATTTTTACTATTTTACTCTTCACTCGACGACTGACTACCTACCAGAAAGTTATTTTACCAGGTACGGATACCAGTAACCTGCTGTATGTAAATCTACATGCTGACTCAGCTCTTATACTTTATAGCTGAGAAATCTCAAAAATCTCTGGATAACAGTGGATGTGTGATGGGTATCATGGGATTCATGGCGGCACTGGAAGGTGGAATGCGTAGGATACCTGGAAGTAAGGTGGCTCAGTCTCCACGGTTATGGAATACATTATTGTACTTTTAAAATTGATTGGTTTCAATATCCCAGCATAGTGGTTACAAGAACGCATGGAGGCTGCTTGAATGTACGCCTGTGGGAATCTGAAATTGTTGTGGATATCTGAATGATCTGACTGTTGAAGGACATGTATGCACTGCTTGCACTGTATTGACCATTGCCTAATTATCTTGCTGTGTGGAGCCAAACGAGTTGCACCAAAAATTCCATAAACTAGAATGAAACACTTCATTTACATCATACAGCTACACATCCACGCACTACGAAAAACTGAAACGCCACACTTTCCCTGTGGCTTGACACGAACATTCAGACAGCACGGAAGTTCTGACTTCATGCACCCAGGATTTCGAATTCGCATATGTACTCGAATGAATCAAGCAAAACTGGGTGTGTGGTAAGAGAGATTATGGCTTTGGGTGCTCGAATACAGGGTGTGATACCAGCAATGTACGTAATGACAACAACGACCCGTGTACTGACTAACCTGCTAGAACCCAGTTGCATAGTCACGTTTCTGGGTCACACCAATATTATATCGCTTTGTCCCAGCACTAGCAATTGCAACAAAGGCATGCTGATGCAGTCCAGGATTGCATCAAGTTTTGAATTTTTTCAACACTGTCAAAATGACCGAAACTATTGTAGAAAGTGTACAGAAGTGGTGCGTCTTGTGGCTTACATTGTAGGTGCTCGCGTAACTGCACTATTCGTATCATGCAAGACCATAACATTGTTCGTGACATGTGGTTGTATGGTGCAGGTTTGAGCTACGCCATACCTTGTGCCTTGCTGGTGTGGCATTTATGCTACCAGCTGATATGCAACAATTATGTAGGAGTTGAAGATTGCATGCGGTCCGCTCTCTTCATGCGTCGAGCTCATTGAAAGATACAGCACAACAGCCTCTTGATTCCCGTGTTTGCGAATATACATGCAAAGTTAGAAACCAAACTACTGAAAACTAGGGCTCAAACGGTTAGTCCGATTAACCGGTTGCAGACCGGTTACGAAGAATTAAAGGGGAAGTTAAGGCAAAAATTAAAATTTCACCAGTTGTAGTCTTCGGGGTGCTGAGTCGAATGGTCGTGGTCCGAGGAAGCTGAGACGCTCCCTTCCTACTTGAATCCCAATCGAACTCGCGCACTTCCACCGAAACTGGGTGACTGCGCCCTACTAGATGGGGATTTGTATGCAAAATGTCACTAAAAGCGCCATTTCGTTCTTATAAAAGCACGGATGACCACGATTGGCCCATATGTTGTAGTCTTTTGGACGCTGAGTCGACTGGTTTTGGTCTGAAAAGGCTGCGATGCAGCGTTCCTCCTTTATTCCCAATCGAACATGGTTGAAGAAGCGGTCACGTGGTCCTGGGTGCCCAAATCACCTGGTCACCACGCCAGCAGGTGACAACTTTCACACCAAGGTTCAACTCGAGTGACAGGACTGCACCCAAAAAAGGTCAAACAGGCTAGTAAGTAAGTTGTACCCTGCAGGCACGGTGACCAGGTGATTGGTGTACGCAGGAGCACGTGACCGCTTGTTCAACCATGTTCGATTGGGAATAAAGGAGGCACGCCGCATCGCAGCCCTTTCGGACCAAAACCAGTCGACTCAGCGTCCAAAAGACTACAACATATGGGCCAATCGCGGTCATCCGTGCTTTTATAAGAACGAAATGGCGCTTTTAGTGACATTTTGCATACAAATCCCCATCTAGTAGGGCGCAGTCACCCAGTTTCGGTGGAAGTGCGCGAGTTCGATTGGGATTCAAGTAGGAAGGGAGCGTCTCAGCTTCCTCGGACCACGACCATTCGACTCAGCACCCCGAAGACTACAACTGGTGAAATTTTAATTTTTGCCTTAACTTCCCCTTTAACGGTTAACCGATAAAGATTACGGTTACGCAGTAACTTTTCAGTCGATTTTTCAAGTATCAGGTCGTTGCAAAGTACATGTATGCACTTTCGCAGGCTGTCGCACGCGTACGCAATTTCTGGGCTGTCAACGCGGTCAACCGTCATATCTGGTCTCTTGGTGTGAGAGTATGTATGAATGAGCATGCAAGAGAATGTACATGTGTGTGCTGTACTGAATAGGGTACATTTTTTGAATGAGTATAGTCAAATATACCGTTAAAAAAGAGTCCGCAGGATTGCCGTGGCTTATTATTATTATTATTATTATTATTTCACAATCACGATGACATAGTGCCAATAAGCATGTGATGCGGGCGATTTTAACCAGCCATGGTGGGGACAACTGAGAAAAAGAAGGAGAAGAAAAAGAGAAAAGAAAAGAAAACAAAAGGAGTACTATAGGAACCTGGAGAGAGCAGTATGAAGATTAGGCTAGCAATGGAAAACAACGAATTCAATTCAATTCAACTTAGGCGCGGGCAGAATGGAACAAAATGCAGCGAAGGTTATAACCGTTAAACCGACCGTTAGCTTAGCAGTTAACCGTTAGGGGTAAAACCGTGACCGTTAGAGCCCTACTGAAAACCCTCTCTATCTATAGTGGGTACCTGAATGCATGGAGTATTGTACTCAATACTATGAATACTGCCTTTTATGCAAGGGACTGCGGCATATACTGTAAAAGAAGAAATTTTCGGTGGTGTAATATTTTTGGTATTCTCCAAAATCGGCGGTTCGGCGGAGGGAAATTTTCGGTTAACCCGCGCTCCAGGTAAGTTTACTAGTACTATACCGGCATTTTTGGTGCGTTTCATTTTCGGTAAAAATTTCGGCACCGAAGTTACCGAAAATAAAAACACCACCGAAAAGTTCTGCTTTTACAGTAGAAACACTGGAATGTACTACGGGCATATGGTGCCAGCGAGGCTACGAATTGAAGCCTTCACACTGCAGTACTGTGACTAGTGTAGTATGCTAGTGCCTTTACCTCTGCATGTTGACTGCATGTTGACTGCAGTTAACTCACACTGCATTCTGGCACTCCTATGGTTTATGTCATTCATCCATGGCATGCGCTATTTCGGTATGCTGGATGGTATAACTGGCATTCAATTATACAATCATGGTATGACATTGTGTTGAGTTAAAAGATAAATCCAAGGTGGATATCTAAATGCATACTGCATAAGTACAAAGTTTCGTTTGGAATTCACTTTTTCGCTATATTCGGTAGGGGGCACGAAATAACTAAAGTTCGTACGAAACTAAAGTTTTTTTTCTGATCGTTCGGGGCGACAGACCTCGACCAAAACAAATTTAGTACGCAAGGAACTTGATGGTGAAGTGTTCTAACGAAAGATTTCGTAAACGAAAATTTGTACTTGTACAGTAGTAGTGGTTACTGGCTACTTGAGTGTACAGAGAGGAATTCACGCCCGGCGCAACCAGTGTGGACGGTCACGCCGTGGCCGTACCAATATCTTGACCACCAACGCATGTTCACTGCTGAAATCATACATGTACATGTATATCTGCACCATATCATGCACAAAGCATGAACAGCTATGGTATGGCCAAACCCAATAAAAAACTGCTCCCGCCAGTTCTTGTACAGTAAGTATCGTTTATAAAGTGACCGGATATAATGATATACCGGTTATAGTGATAGAACACGTCAAAATCAAAATCAAATCAGAAAAAATACAGCTAAAATATCACTATATACACTATTATCGGCTATACCGATATATCGCTTATTGTGATGGACTTCAGGAAGCAAACCATATCAAATGTACAGGAAAATATCGCATATAATGATCAAGAGTGATGATCACAAAACAATTGTGTTTTTTTGTGTTGGCCGATTTTTCTTCACTGTTTTCTGGACAGACAACATTCGCTCCTTGATCACATCTTTTTGCTTGATGATGGTTGAAACGCTCGACTGAGGCACACCAAACTTTTTCCTACGGCAGACTGAGACACGCTAGGGTTTCTCTCTACGAACTCTACAATTTCAGCTTTCTTCTCAGTGGAAAGACAAACTCTCTTTTTCGGCGGAGGCTCCATGACCAGACCTTTCACTGGGGAACAACTTGGCAACTAAACAGAAAGGACAGCGAAGCCCAGACTTTCAGGTTAGCTACTGTCACGAATGTCACTCGACGTAGGTCTACTCATGATCTCTTTTTGATCTCGTTGGACACCGAGTACGCGAGTACGGATCCAGCTCAGGCTTCTTTTTTTGGAGAACACGCTGAAGAAGCAGCCATGCCACATGATGTATCGAAGTACTAGTACATGTACAGTCTGTACCAGGGAGTAGTAAAATGTATTTTTACTACTCCCTAGGATCCCTGGTCTGTACTCGTA